GCGAAGCACTGCCGATGCATTCCCGGGTCACAGTGTGTCCTCGCGGCCATCCATCCCCAACCATAGCGCCACACCCGCTCCGGACTGCTAGGTGTGTTTCCGTTTGGAAAGTAAAGTTACTCGGATAGTAGTTCCTTAGAGAAAACACGTTAAGAACATTATTCTAGCACAAAGGACTTTTGTAAAAGAGATAGTTCACTTAAACAACCTTCGGTTTCCTTTAAAATCAAGGATAGTAATTTTAACACAGGTGCTCATAAAAGAAATAAGAATCTGTTCAAATAGAAACTAGCCATCGAAGCTTTCAGAAGGATTGAATGAGCTATAAAAAGTGTGAAAAGCGTAAAGACACGATGATGAGGCTTCTGAAATAATGGAGCGAATCGATATTCTGCTTGGCTTCTCCTATTCCCACACACTTTAATGTTACCCCGTAGGGTTGTAGTCATAAAAAGACCATTCATCGTTTACAAAAGTAAGACGAGAGAATTCATGAAGACAGAAATGTAATGGGAAAGCAAAAAAGTGTTAACGGATCACTATAAGGAATAAAAAGAAGCTAAAAATAATTCCAGAAAGAGAAACAAGGAAGGAGAAATCCTCACCAAAGAAGCCGTAAATAAAAGCTTTAAATAATATCATTACTGAATATTAAACTGGTTTACAAGTAAAAGGACTAGGTAGATCAGAACGGATTTGACGAATCAGATTTAACGAATGACGCACAGCCATATTGGCGCTAGTCATCGAGTACTCGCCAAGGTCGCCGACATGGATTTACCTTAACCGCTGTGAACTGCTGAGTGCATATTCCATTAGATAGCCACTCTACCAGGATCGTCTACGAAGCTATAGGACCTTGCAACCGGGATTACATGTCAGTGGCTTTCCTATATAAAGGCTAAGTCGACTAGCGTAGCACCACTTTTCTGTGTCAGTGAAATAAAAGAAGGCGTGAGTGAATATATAAGTGGTTGGAGATTCCGTGCAACAACGCGCATATGGTTATTGGTTCGACTCAAACTAGTGCTATCTCCCATCCGCCCGGGATTAGCAAGTTAGTACTACAGCTTTCTAAGAAAAGCTTCATTTGAAACACTGAAGCCAGGAACTACATGTAGTGAAGACTTAGTGAAGTAATGTAAGGTTATAGCAAGGATCCAGGATAAACCAGCTCGACCATCAATAAACTATATTCATGAAAAAGACAAAATATTCCCGTGGCAGCAGAACTCACACGCAAATTCGAAGACCTTCGTTAACGAAGGATACGGTCAATGAATACAACAGCACATCGAATGAGACAAACGCTGTGTGCTACAGAATATGTGGAAACGACTTATGTAAATAAGTCGAAATACAATGGAATATCCCATTTATGATCAAAGTAATCATCTAAAGTGCGATTTGCTGGAGTTCCATCTGTGCCCAGGGATTTCTCTGTTGAACAGGACTTTTCTTCGCAGTAAAATGAATGCTTCTGAACGTAATCTCCCAAGAAGCTTTCTCCACGAAAAGCGACACCATTCGGCGCTACTGATGAGAAGAATTCTATATATGCGAAAGTTCACAACTGCATAAAAAGTACTAAACCACACCGAATATCGTCGCATCATTTCTTCATCGACGAATCGGGAAAGTAATCGACTCCTGGTAGACATTACTTTCACGACTTTTCAACCTATTTCAGACAACCAGTAAAACACTCGCTTGATTTTGAAATGCCCAGACTATTAAGCCAACAAGAGATTGATTTAAAAGATTTCATTCGACTAACGTTTCAGTGCCTTCGCGCCTTCGCCTTCTTTACAGCCCAATTGATCTGAGTCGATTGTCTACAGCCAATCATTCTCCCGATATGGGTCATCGTAGTTGCCTCGCGTTGAATCTTCTCAAGCAGAGCAGCGCTTGAATGAAATGACCTCACCCAGCAATGCCTTTCTATATAGGACGATTGTTGATCTATTGCCATCCATTTCAACTTTTAAACTTGCTTCTTGAATGAAGGAACTTCATTCAAGCGGTGCTCCACTTCAGACGATTTGACTCGATGCCAATACGAAGATCCACATCTCGAGGACGAACAGCTGTGGACAATCTACTCGGATCAATCAGGGCTCCAAAGAATAGGAAGACGCCGGAACATTAGCCGAATAAAACCTTTTATACCAACCTCATGTTAATTAGTTAATTAATAACCTAAAAAAAAGTATTGACTATTCATGCACAGATTGATCATGGGACTAACTTACTAGTTCTGTACTCATCTGACAGTGACATGTTCGCTACAACAGTTCACTGTCAGATGAGTATCTTTCCTGGATGGTAAGAATGCGTTCGAAATCTAGAATGATTATCAAATCGACAAATCGCTTTCTTGCTGTCGTTCGACACATTCACGATCAAGGAGCAGATAGAAGATGACTCGCTTTCTTCTCGGCTATTTATATAATCGCACAGAGTTTTTTTCCCGGACTTTTTATTTCTAGTTGATGGTTTCCATAGAAAATTGACCCAGATATGGCCTGTGAAAAGCTATTCTGCGCTTGGATTCACAATACCCACAGCGTACTGTTAAAGGATAAAAGGATAAAGTTTTTGGCGTTGATCAACCTCTAAGAAATGTGCCATGAATTCGACTCCACCAAAGATCGTTAGAGGTGAATGAGTGGAAATTTGGCCTATACAGTGATTTGCAGTGGCCTACCGATAGATTAAGTCGGTTCTGCTATCTCCACAGACTCGTTTTCTGCTAATCTGCAAACGCCGAGGAGATGGCACTCCTGGTGAGGATAAACCCTTTTTCGAAGAACTTCGTTGACTGGCAGTTTTACTAAAAATTAAGCACTCTACTAAACCGACTTTCACTTAACCTCGGCGTGAATAATCAATGAATTTTTTCCTTATTGTTCAGCTTACACGAGGATGTTACACTACCTCTATTTGGCTAACGCTCCGTCGTCTTCGTCTTCTTCGGAGCAGGACATTTCGGTGGAAGAATCAGTCAACAACCGTCTTATATAAAAGGAAACCGCCAAGTGAAGTTAGTCCATTCGAGCGGTCCTCCACTCAAGAAGATTCGACTCAATATTACTACCGTATCCCTGTCGTGACAACGACCGGCTATAGACAATCGACTCAGATCATCGGCTGTGCAGAAGATGAAGACATCGAAACGCTCCAGAATAAGGGTTATATCACAACCTCGTGTAAGCCGAACAAAACAAAAAAGTACATCAACAAGTAAGTGCTACTTCATTCTAATCATTAGTTACTGTACGGAATGCACGCATATAAAAAAAACAATTAGACTGAACACAAAGGCAAAGTGCTTCCAAGTGCTGACGGGAATGTATCTGCATATGGGACCACAGTAACACAGTGAATAAGGAGTACACTGATTCATACCTGTAGGAGATATAGTACAGTCTCTTCCGCGATTCTGTTAAGTTCACAAACCCTAAAGCCCTCTAGTTACCAAAAACCTTTTATTGTCAAAAACCAGAAAGTCCGTAACCGACGAGTAATTGGCCGTACCCCAATCGAAGAGCTACGCTGAACGGAGCGCGTCCGCTATAGTTTAAGTCTGGTGCACGGCACATCCCGCAGAGACTGATCAACGCTTCGTCCGTTAGAAATTTTCCAGTTTGCAACTCGCCTTTAATTCGGCCCAAGCCAGCCACTGATCTGGGGCAGGTCAATTTTTTAATGGCTCTCCGCTGAATTCTGGGGCGCGTGTAGCTCAATAGTTAGGGGCTCCCTGCAATGCACTGGGGTGAATCCCCGCTCCCCGAGCTCACGAAGCCTTCCATCCCTGCGGAGTCGGCAAATTGGTACAAGACTTGTATGGGAGGATAGCAGCACTGGCTCGTTACATTGATAGGCCACCGCGAACCACTGTAAAGGCCATATATGTATGCAGTCACCTCCAACGATGCATAGTGAAGTTGAATGCATGGCGCATTCCTCGGGAATTGATCGACGCCGAGAGTTTCATTGTTTTTACGCCTCTGCTGACGAAGGGAACACTGACTTCCTAAACAGTGCCTAGGTTCATCGAAAGTCGGTCCTGCGAATCGCAGACGTCGCCAATTTCATCTTTAAAGGATAAAGGATAAAGCTGTCGGCGTTTATCAATCTTATCAATCCCTGAGGGATGCGCCATGCATTCGCCCTCACTAAGTATCTTTGGAGGTGAGTGAATGCATAATCTGGCCTTTACAATGACTCGCGGTTGCCTACTGATGTATCGAGCCAGTGCTACTATCCTCTCAGACAAATCTCGTACCAAATTGCCGACCCCGGAGGGATAAAAGGCTTGGTGAGCCATGTGCGCGGGGATTAACTCCACGTGTGTGTAACAGTGGCGCCTCCAACCACTGCGCCACATGCGCCCTTATTTCATCTTTAGTCCATGTAAACTCAAATGCAGTTAGATTGAAGGTCCCTAACGATTACAGAAAGAAGTTGCGTTCGATGAAAAGAAAAGATGTTGGGGGGCTGATGCAATGTCGAAAAGAAAGAATGGAAACTAAGCAACTTAAAGATGGAGGACGTAATGACTCTATTCGTAAAAAGCGAAATCTCCCTTAAGTTTTAAAACCGAAGCCACTAAATAAGATCGATCAAGCTACCGATATCACAAGAACTGAAAATGAACCGCTGCACTACACTCTGCAGGGGTCCCCACACGTATATTGATTTTTCGAGATATTTCTGTTCAAATTGGGCGCGCAATACACAGCGAATTCAACAGTTACCGTAATCATCCAGTTGATTTTTTTCCGTTCGCCTAATTTGTTCCCAGTGGTTTCTTCTTTTCGTTGTTCTGTTATTCTACTGGTTTTGTTGTTCAATGAGGACTCGTCGGTATATTTCTTATTCCTTTTGTGGTAGAACTTGTGGGGCGTGAAGTCCTTTATGCTTCAGGTTTCTGTAGAACCGTGTTTCATGTTTCTAGCATTTTCTCTTTACTGCATACTCCACCATATTCAGGTAATATGGCTCAGCGTGTCACATATAGACGTCGGTTGTCCTACAATACAAGGTCGAATAAAGCGAAGATCGTGAAGACTCCAGGTGGCAGACTCGTCTATCAATACCTTAAAAAGCGAGGATCTGTGCCAAGATGTAAAGATACTGGCGTCAAGCTTCACGGTGTGAGTGACTACTTATAAGTGTTTAGGTTTTGCTTTATTTAGAAAAGTACGCATTTTCACCTTTATTTATGTGGAGCATTAGGAATGAGGTCGTAATAGTCTTAGGAGATTTGGATTGGATCTTGTTTGGGAATGTTAGCGTGTATTTGATTCTAGTTTCCTTAGAACAACGTGGATTTACTGTTCTCTTTTATCGCATGGGGTTAAAAAAAGTCGAATACTCATTGGCTTATCCAGTGTTTTCAATATCTACTTGCCAAAATTGCTCTACGGACTATTTTGCTGCATTTGCAAAAGGGACGTCAAAAGACCTTGGGCGTTGTGCCTTGCGGAATTCTTCGATAGATCTGTTACTCAAGCTTTCGAGTTTTACATTTCTAAACCGAAAACCCAGTTGTGCTATACCACGGTGGACCCAGACCCAGCCTGCGCAGATTTCTTGACGTGATTGAGGTATCAACGTACGTCTCTGCTGCGTAGCAGAGGACTAGGAGGTCCGTTGAATTGAAAAGATGGGCACAGAGTTTTGGGTCTGTGGCTTAGTTGGTGGCTTCTTTGAGTGGCCCAAATGTGGCCTATGCTGCACTCCTATCTGATTTCTTCCTCATGTTGTACTCCATGTTCACTGAAACTCCAAGGTACACGTGCAAAGTGGTTTCTTTAATCGGAGAACCATCTTCATGAACTGGGTCTTCTCCTCATTTTATGTACAGTCGAATCTTTATTCCCGCTTCGTTGAGTTCACTGAACATTGTCTTAGCATCACTGGTACTCGAAGATGTCATCCTCTAAACAAAGGTTTGAAAGGAAATTTCCATCAATATTTATGCTCTTCTCATTCAAATCGTGTGACCTTGTTATCTATTGCGATGGGGTAATGAACGGCTTTGGCAATATTGTGTCGCCTTGTCGAGCCTCTTTTTTTAACGGGTAGGTGAGTAGTCGATGAGAAAGCGGTAACAGTCTGCTAGTGTTTGTATATGGGACGGATCCACTCCGTGGACGACGAACTCTGATAGAATTGCACTCGTTTCGACGTTATCAAACGTTTCCTGGTAGTTGGTAAGGATTAGAACGAGGGGCAGGTTGAACTCCCGACAGACTTTTGTGACTCGTGATACGGTTTGAATGTGGTCCATACAACAGAATCCCTGTTGGAACCCATCCTGCTCAACTGCTTATGCCTCATTCAAGGTCTCCGATATTCGTAAAAGGACAATCTTTTTGAGCAGCTTGTAGAGTACACTCACAAAGCATATTGGACGGTGGTTACGAAGATCCCTTCGGCGCCCTTGGGAAGCACGACCGCGCAGTAGATCCTCCATTGCTTTGGAATATTCTTTTTTTTAAAATGAGATGTCACTTGGATTGCGAGAAGTGCGTCTAGCTCGAAGAAAATTGGCTGTGAAAATATCGGGCTCTGGAGCTATACCTGTCTTCATGCTTTCTACCACAGCTTGAACTTCATAGTGTAGAATCCCGAGCACTCTCTCGCCAACAGGGATTTCGGGGTTTGAGACAGAGATTATGGACCGCGAAAGATTGGCAATAGAACCTTTCCGTTACTAATTCCATGTCATGGCAAACTGTAGTGGTAGTTCGACGGTGCTTCTTCAGAGTAGATCGTTTTGAGCTGCTTGCAATAACTTCTTCTGTTTATACCAATGCAAATTCTCTGGAAAGATCTTCTAAAGCTAGAATTTCTTGTCAGCCATGTTGGGTGTGTTGCAGTAGGATCAAGCTTGAGTGTCCTCCTCTTTTCAAGCAACTCCTTGGAGGCAATGCAAATCTGGACACAACTTCTTGGTTTAGGAACTGAGGCGAGTTCGGCACAAGTTTTAAGTCCTTCATGAAGCAGCATGTGATCGTCGGCTCGGTCTTCGTTTATATGCCAGTCGCACGGAAAGAGGACTTTATTTAGAATAGCCTCGTCTTACATATGCATGACTTATTTTTTGGCCTTGGACGAATACAGGAAATTTTTTAGCTTAGGGGTAAGTCAACTCTTCGCACGAAGAAGGCGTTGGTCAGATCCAGTACGTAATCCAGGTACCACCGAACTGTCAAAGAGAAACTATCATTTGTTCGTGAGAATATGATCGATCTCCACATGAGTCGCACCATTAGGAGACTGACCTCATATATTAACGATTTTCTCTTTTCTCGAAATTGGATTCTAAAGGATGGAGGCATGCTAATGACAAGAGTCCAGCAAGGCGGTTTTCATCCTTATTCCATTCTCCTATTCAGAATTTTCCCATCTTGTATTCACATTCGATGGCCGTTCCTAATCTGGAATCGGGGTCTGCAACAACGAATTTACGGAGGACTTCTGGTTATGAATTACTTCCTCCATCTGGTTGAAAAACTAGTCCATTTCGTTATCATCAGCTGTGAAATTCGGTGAGTAACAGTTGATGATACTGGCTTTCTTTTGATGTGCAAACGGCTAAGCACGGTGATAGGATTTCGTTTGGGGTGACTTGACTAGGCGGGAAATAGATGGGTATACGACAAATTCGACGCTTCCAACATTTCGGAATAGAAATTTCCTTCCACGAGTGACAAGAATTCCATCATCTGATTGGCATATCAGTCATGATTTTTGTCTCTTGAAGAGCGATCACATGGAATTTGATGCAACCAACGGCCTCAAAAAGGGCGTAAAGGTTGGTATTTGAAGAGACTGTTCTGGCATTACAGGTGCACAGCAAAATGCAGTCTCCATGCGGTGTCGCGGGCGTATTACCAGCGAATTCTTAACAGTTATCAAGGAAACTTGCACAGTCGTTAATATGTTAATATACGACGTTATTTCAGCGCATATATGTAACGATTATGTTTGGGGTATGTGGGCTTTCTATCTCTTTTGGGTTATAGGGTTTATAATATAAGAATGGGTTTAAGACATCCGATGTATTATGGGACCTCTTTTCATTTGACAATATTTCAGATCACACCCGCGCGTCCTCGTGAGCTTAGAAGGTTGAAGAAAAACAAGAGAACTGTTTCCCGTGCATATGGAGGTTGCCTTTCGCCGAACGCTGTGAAGGAGCGCATTCTCCGTTCTTTCCTTCTTGAAGAGCAGAAAATTGTGTCAAGGGTCCTTAAATCTAGGAGAGGTGCCGAGTAAATTGATTTGTTATTTATTTGTTCTTATAAATTGTTACGTGAACTGTTTATGCATTTTGGTCATTCCTGTTGGTCACAGGAGTATACGTTCAAAGTGTTATATTTCATTTTTCATTTATTTCATATATTTCATTTCACATTTCTGAAACATTAGAATTATCCTCGCAAATGAATTATATTCTATTTTTCTGTAGTTCATCTTGAATTTAGCATCGTGGTTCACCTTAAGCATCTGAGACGAGGCACGAGAGCAAACAAGTACTGTAGCTATGATACCTTGGTGAACTTCTAGGACAGCTTATTTCCTGGTAAACCTGTGTTACAGCATTTCTGACTCCTTATCGCAGAGGCGGTCGCCAGCAATCGTTGGTTAGAGTAAAATTTTTCTAGACAGTGGGATACCAACTCAGTAGCAATGGAACGATGAAGCACTCGGATGACACAGTGCGACGATGAACAGCAACCATGCGTGCAGTGCGCAACATATGTAGTCACTACGCAACCTGCACCATCACAAATGTATGGTCTTAGTAAATGATTTCACTTTTCATATATGGAGACAATATGATCTGTATAATACCCACGATATGTGCTGAAAGTTTGGAGAGGAGTTTGAGGAATGCGCCATGTGGATGAGTTGATCAAGGATCCCAAAGATGGTTGCATGCATATCTGACCTACACAATGATTGATGTACTATTTCAGTGTTTGTGTAATGCCAGAGATGCCTGGTGCCATGCATTCGACTTCATCGCGCATCGTTGGAGGTGATTGAATGCATACTTGGCTTTTACAATGACTCATGGTGGCCTATCGATGCATAAGGGTAGTGCTGCTATCCTCCCAGACAAGTCCGCTACCAATTTGCCGACACCGCAAAGGTGGAAGGCTTGGTAAGCCCGTGGCGAATGACCGCACCGAGTGATTCTAAATGTGTTGCAAAAACTTCTTACCACTGTGCTGCAGACACTCTACAACACAGTAACTCCCACGACCGACTTTCTATTAACCTCGGCATTGATCAAGTAATTCGTATTTTTGTTGAGCAAACGCGAGGTGTTATTATTCTTTATTCACGAATAAGCTGACGTTTCGGCGGATTTCGCCTTCCTCAGAGCCTGGAAAGGTCAAGTTGGTAGCAATCTACTCGGCCAGACGCCTCAATAACCAAACAAAGAAACTCTAAACCAAGATTTCAATCACCTTGAACACACCTTGAACTCCCCGGAAAGGATAATAGCGCGTTCGTTCCCCACCATAGACACCTGCGGTCCAGAGTTTTGCAAATATCTCAGCAACATTGTGGTTGTATTTCACCTTGAACACAGTTTTGCACACTCACCGCTTTCTATGAGGTTTCCACTTTAGTATGTCACTTAGAGGCCAACCGCGCAGAAATCACATGGAAGCATAATGTGCCCCTCCAATCAGAATAGTAGTCTTATATACTGCCCTATATCACGCGTGATAATGAGGCATTCTTCCCTGCGGTTCATTTTCGGATTTCTGGAATCAATCCAGAATGCCTCGAGAGTTTTTCGCGCCTGTGTTCTTGATTCGCGTGCGAGGATCTTGACACATGCTTCAAAGTCCTTCCCGTTATGTCTCTGGGTCCTATGCGTGCCTAGCGGAGCATTTGGTCTACTATGTTTGCCGGCTAGGTGTTCTTTTGTGCGGACACAGATAGATCGCAGGGAAGAATGCCTCATTATCACGCGTGATATAGGGCAGTATATAACACTGCTATTCTGATGGTAGGGGCACATTATGCTTCCATGTGATTTCTGTGCGGTTGGTCTCTATGTGACATACTTAGTGGAAACGGTGAGTGTGCAAAGCTGTGTTCAATGTGATTGAAATCTTGGTTTAGTTTCTTTGTTTGGTTATGATCAACGATGAGAGCTTTGTCCTTTATCCTGTACGGATCGATCGGGAAGATCAGTGACAGTGAACTGATATCAACCTATTTTTTTACTTTGCCGCACAAAAGTTGCTCACCACATATTTTGTAGTTTGTTAACAGCTTTGCGGACCAGCGAGCAACATCTGGATAAGAAAACCATACCTGACAACATATGGAAGTTTTTTCAGTTGTTTACAAGCAACAGGAACTATCGCAAGTAAGGATCGTGCAGTGGAAGCGGCCGTATCATAAATAGGAGTATCGAGATGTTTCGGTGTTTGCAGCGTTCCTTTTGTGAACCGGAGCGACTGCTTTTGTACTAACAGGGAGGCACGGAATGTGTCTAATTAGAAACATATATATGACTCGTACGACTTTATGTGATGAGGTCACGGCACAGCACTTGCGGCGAAAGTTTAACGTCAGAACGTTGCTGAGATATTTGCAAAACTCTGGACCGCAGGTGTCAAAGGTGGGGAACCAACGCGCTATTGTCCTTTCCGGGGAGTAACGCGTTCACCACCACACCATGCGGGTCCTTCGTTTCGCCTGTGTCAGCTATTTCTATCGATCTTTTTGCCACAGCAATCACCCGTCAGCTTTGCGTCAGAGTTTTGCAAATATCTCAGCAACGTTGTGGTTGTGTTTCGCTTAGTAATCTGCCATGAAAATTATAGAAGGTAGAAAACAAAACGTTAGAGATTTGAACGTCAGAATCAAAGTTTTTATGCATTGGACCACAATTTGAAATTGTACATATCGAAATTCTAACCATTCTCGTTTGGATTATTTTACATAGAAAAGTGCTCCATGAAGTGAATAATTTGATCGCTGTTTATTTTATCCATCGATGGACTGGTGAGAAAATAAAGCACTATTCAACATGGATAAGAACACAGTGTTAGTATGACATTAGGAGAGAAGTGCATCATGCTAGATCTTAGCAATAGATAGGGCTCTTCAATACAGACAGGGTTTAATCAACTTTGCCGTTACGGTCAGATAAGCAACGGATGCGAAATTCTGGTTACAATAGGACATTCTTAATTGGACTCTTCGCCACCTGAGACTCAGCTCATTCACAATACGGACAACTTAGTCTTGCTCATTAAACTCTCTTCGACGCAGAGATTCGGATAGCAAGGAACATTCTTGTCACTCTTTGAGCAGCCAAATTCCTGGGGTTTCTATAGATATCTCAATGCTACATTTATGTTGCACTTTTATTAAAAATGTTCGAATAGCTCTAGTATCGGACAAATCATTACTACCTTAGAACTACACTATTTCGCGATTACATCAGTGATTTAGCCATAACAAAATTGTAACAGCAACTCAGCAGTAAAATTCTTTATTAGTAAACAATATTTGTAATAGGCCACATATAAGGTAAAACCTGACATTTGTAGCACCTCGTATTGGCATAAGTAAAAAAATGGAACAAGTAATCTCTTAGACTTTCAAAAGGATAAAAAATTGCAATATCTAGAAAGCGTTGTCGAGCAGGCACACGATAAAAATCACTTAGGATTCCGAATCTGTCGTTAATAAACAAATATATCGCACTCTCCATTAATCACATCAAATCATCATATTAAAGGAGGGACTCTCAGAATTATAACGGAGCTCTCAGTGAGGAATAAGGACCAAAGGATCGTCCCATTTTGAAAAGATATCTCTAGTATCCTGATATGATTGGTGAAATCTTGGGCATAACACTGACGATTGCGCATCATACTGCTGTCCAAGAAATTTGTAAGAGCTTTCTGAAGTGCAAGGACACTGCTTCTCACCATTAGCACACTCCATATGGACGAGGTGACCGCAACTGAACTAGATAACCGTCACAAGGGTCCGTAGAAAGAAGGCATACACCTTTCCAATACGTTTTTTATAGACAAAAAAGAGGGAAACAAGAAAAAAAAGTTATTCTCATAGATTAAAATACTAAATAAGACCATGGTTAAAAGTCGACAATAGGATCTATTCGCCTAGTCTCTAAATCTCACTTTGCGTCACACATACTTGCATGGGCCCTCTTCACTGATTGTACGGGCACCAGCATAATTTCTACTGTTTCGGAGTTTTGTTAGTTTAGCCATTGTGGTTTTTCAGAGTCCCGAACTCAGCCTGGCCAAAGTCTGCCTCAGGTCTTCACCACCAATGGCGGTAGCACTTTGTGGATCAGAAGGAGATTTGACACCACGCGACTACTTTGATACCAGTACGGTGGTGGATTCTGGTATTGGTTTACTTTTAGCCAGGCTTCCTTATAGAAACTCCGGACTTATTCTGTTTGGAAGACCCTGCTGGGGGATGAATTACCCGGCTGCACATCGCGGCCCTACACCCAGGAACACCTCCCAGCAATTATGAAGCGGTAAATTTTTGGAAGTTCTTAACGTCTCTAATATCTAAAATCTAATATGTCATCCATTCATCCATGATCGGTAAGCTGATAACAAATCCCTAAACAGAGCACAAGACACACATGTTTTCAACTGCGGGCAACGACAGGTCATTTTACAAACAAAGTGTAAGTGCTTCAATCCAGTTCTTATAATTTATAAAGGGGTTTATCTCAAAGGAATTAAGGACTACCGAACATCCTAGAAACAGTTCTCTTCATCCAATACAAAACACCAGAGATGAATTATGTACAATGCATTTGGTGGAGATATAATGGTCACTTCGAATGTCAGTCCGATATATTTAGCTAATACTGAACTTTACCAAAGTCCAAAGTCACTAGAATTTTTAGATTTTAAATTCCAACGTCGTTATAACAGGGTCTGTTTTTGATTTCTTTTGCGCAAAAAACGACCCACTTCTCGATCAAATTGTGACCAAAGATGAAATACGATCATTAGACTGAGATAAAGGCCTTAGGCAATATCCATAATCTAACCTACATTAACAGGCAGTCATGATTAAGGTACATTATATCGTTGTTACGGTATCCGAAATTTGCCATACAAAGTTCATTTTTTCTTTTTTTACCAATCGACATCAAAATTTGTGCTACTTTTCACCACACTTCTTGTTATCTTTCATGGCCACAGAGATATACTCGTTAAAATATTACTTAGACCCTTAGAGACGCATCAGCAGCCAATTTGCCACTTTGCCGGCAAAGTCTATCACACAGGTGAGAGAACCATAATGGTGGAAACTTGTTATCAGTTGACCCCAGTTTCTAGAGAAAGGCTCGTATCGTAATGAGACACTGCCAAAAGTTGGACGGACCACATGTTTTCCGATACTCAAGCAAATTCTCACCGATGTGAGTAGACAATCTGGAAGACGGAGAGAACTTATTTCAATGCATACTGTAAGGCATTCTACAGATTGGTCGCTTTTCAATAGAATTACCTGAAGATGTAAGCAGCTTTTGCCAGTGGTGATCGACATAGGACACACTGATTCTGTATGACACCACCAACTTTTCGAGATAGTTGCATACGCATAGATAACAGGTCTAATGTACTCTCCTGATCCTGAACATATACTCTGTCGTTTAATGGCAACAAACGAACTGAAGACCTCACTACTTTGCGAGACCACTTCAGATAAAACAAGTAAGTGCATTGTGACGTACATGAAGGAAACTCACTATACACAAATATAATTCCTTTAGAATAAACGATTCATGGAGACAAGTGCAGAGGATCTTGTGGATTAACACGGCGTAATCCCTACAAGGAAAATTATGAAAAAAAGTTGGATGTCAGTTCAACAATGTAATGGGTACCTGAAAAAACCAAATTTGAAAGAAGGGTATTCTAGAAGACATTCGACGAGTTCTAACGAATGTTCAGAACCACGCTCGAGAATACCTCCCGCTAATGAACGAAGACGAAATTCCATATCTGAAAACATACCTCTCACAGTCAAAAATGACTTCCTTGACTTCCTAATACTTGCACATTCAGTGGAAGCATTTTCTGGGTTCCAAACCAAGGATTTACATGCTTTCAGGGTTTAATATTAAGGCGAAAAGCCTACTCACCCACGATATCCTTCTCAACACTAGCATGTGTGACTGCACGCATGATCCGTATGAGCCAGCCACAAGAATGGGCTAAGCCGGCGTGTCGCCCACAGAATGATAGACTTTTATCAAGCCAAGCCACTGAAACATTGATTCTGGTTTTCAACGCTATCCTGAGGCAACAACTGCCATCACGTGTAGAATCGTAGTCGGCACTCAGAACCACCAACCAAATCGTTCTTGATCTCCTTGATCGGAATTCATATGCTGAAAAAGTATTTCGAAAGCATCATCCAATCGATTGCGAGTCTCCATCAGCAAAATTGTGCTATTGGGGCAATCAGAATCTGCGGCAAGATTTAAACAGAAGTCGGAACGTGAGCCAGTAGGCAGCCAGTAAAGTAACAGGTCCTGAAAAGCACAATTATCCGACATTTGTTAGACATAAACTATATGACTATTTTAAGTAAAAATCCAAGGTTAAATTTAACCTGCAACACATTATCCAAATTTTCTGGTTGTTCCTTTACAATGCCTTCAAACACAACTTCAAACAGCCGCTCGTCCGCATCATCATCCATTTGAATAAATGTTTCTTGACGTTCTCGTCTAAATATAAAACATCCACACACCCATAAAAAATACAATTCGTTGTAAAAAAGGATGCAGCGTACTTAATGTCAAACACCGCCTTCAACAAAGGGAAGTTAGCCTTTCTATCTTCGATGGTGTTTAGACGGAGACCGAGGAGATAGTGAGGGAAGTAATGAATCACAAGATCTCCACACTCCCGAGCATTCACAATAGAAAGCTGCTAAATTATAATGGGATTAATAGGTAAGCAAACTGAAAATCTGGTCTTTAGAATCTGGTTTAGAAAACAAGTTTACCCACAGGGATTAACTGCAGCACAACCACAGATATTTCGTCAAATTCCCGTTGTGAAAGATCTGCATGGAAAATTCGGCGAATTATTGGGAATATCTGAGAAAAAGACATCTGCTTACACCATTAAAGAGAAGAATATTTATGAAAACTCTTACTTCGTTCTCCATACCTCTCAGGTAACACTTGATGAGGTCCACAAATTTCCTATCGCCACAATAAATGAATGCACATATTTCCTTCCTAAATTCAACAGTAATTTATCAGGGCCAAATATAGAGAGCTATTGTCCAGTTACATGGTCACCCAAAACATGATTACAAGAGATCCTGATTACGTCCAAATCATATGATGATAAACTATGATTTGTTCACTGAACAATACTCGTTGTGGAAAAGTTTTTCAAACAGATTTAATTTGAGTAATAAAGAGACGTTTAGAAACGAATATATTCCCACAATTCCAATTCCAATTATCAATTTCTATGTGCAAAAAAGCACCCTCCCAACGGCTTACCGCTTCAACATGGGAGGGAAGTGTTCAAGGGTGCCGAGCTCTGAGGTACAGGAGGATTCATCCCCACAGCAGGACATCCGGAGCTGAGAAGTTTGTAGTTTCTGCCAGGAAGCCCAGCTAAGAATAAATCAGTACCAGGAGCCATCACGGTCTTAATATCAAACTACTCACATGGTGTCAAATCTCCCTGTCCACAACAGGGACAATTGCCTGTGGTGGTGACGACCCGGGAAAGACTTTGGCTAGGCTGACCTCGGGACTCCATGGGACCACAACAGCTAAACTAGCAAAACTACGAAAAAACGGAAATTATGCTAAAGCCTGCACAACCACTGACGACATCCAAGCATCCAAGTACGTAAAAGAAAGCACAGCTCACCAACCTCATAGGAGAAAGAGCCATTCGCAGAACTGGCTTTCTGTCTAATTGAGGAATAGCTTGCAATGTCTCGACAATGGCGAATTCTGTTGAACCGTGTTGCCATGTCATTCGCATCAACGTCGTGACCACCTAAAGAAATAAGTAAGAATGTGCTATGCACCGTAGCTACTTTTCTTAACACATTCGCGATCACATAGGTTAGTAAAAAAATAAACAGTTAATAAAGCTCTCGGCGTTGATCAATCCCTGAGGGATACGCCATGCATTCCACATCATTAAGCATCCATGGAGGAGACTGAATGCATATCGGACTTATACAATGACTCGCGGTGGCCTACCAATGTATCGAGCCTGAAGATGCTACCCTTGCAGACAAGTCTGGTACCAATTTTCCGATCTCAGATGGATGAAAGGCTTAGGGAGCCCTGAGCGCAGGATCGAACCCATGTGTATTGCACAGCGTCTCCGAACAATGCGCCACACACGTCAACACCAACATATATGTAGGAAAACACTATAGAGACTTATCTGTAAAGCCAAACGCTTTCCGTTACACATCCGTATTCAATTGAGATCTTGGAGATCTTATTGAACACAGGCGCTGTTCAGATTTCACCCTGAAAACTTGACAAAAATCCTTACTAGCACAACTGGAAAGGCATACTAACGTCATCTGAGGAGTAGCGAGAAGACATCAGAAGCCCAAATGCTACGCTTCGTATGTTCTCTGGTTCGATTTGTCGAATGCGGGTATAGCTCAGTGACAGAGCGCTCCCTTAGCACGGGAGAGGGTTGTGGTTCAATTCCTCATACTCGACTCTTGACAATTTCCTGGACTTTTTTCCCCAACGCAAGCGCACATAACTTTATTAATCAAAGCAGTATCACCTGTAGTCCCGTTGATCGTCGAGTAACTCGAGCAGGCGTCAGTAGATCTTCCATTTTTTGCTGTCGCGTGCAATAGCAGCGCAGTGGGTTCTGCTTGCTCTAGGGACTCGTCGTGCATCATATCTTTCTTCTAGGCCCTTCGTGAGGAACTCTGACCATCGAGTCGGTGGTCTTCCGGCAGTACGTTTAACATCCCAAGGAATTCAGTCACTAACTGCTCTTGTCCATCGGTTTTCTTTCATACGTATTACGTGTACGGCCCACCTCAGACTGCTTGGAGTACAGAATAGCATCTATGATTCCTGATGCCTGACGCAGGTCGGAGCTTCGTATTCCTTCCCTTGCTGGCGTGACACAGGATACTCATAGCAGTGTCCTTTCTACTGCGCGTTCAATCACGCTGAGTGATCTTTCATTCTGCTTACGCAGCTACCAGGTTTTTGACGCATACGTCGAGGCACGAAGTGCCGTTGAGTCGAAAAGGTGGGCAAGGAATCGGGTCTTCTTTGTTCTGTTCACCACATCCCCCATGCTCTTGAAAGCTCCCCAAGCCTCTCGTTTCTTTCTATTCAGCTCTGGAGCCAGGTCGTTCAGCATATAGATTTCCCGACCTAGATAGATATAAGTGGAGCATTCAAAGATATACATTCCGTTGAGCGTGAATGGGGCATGCGAAACCAATCCGTTCTTCATGAACATCGTTTTTTTTGAGATTTAGCCGAAGACCAATCTTTCCATAGCTTTTATTAAAGTCGGCAAGCATACGTCCCGTTTGGCTAAAGTTTGGTGTTATAAGGACGATGTCATTAGCAAAACGAAGATGGTGAAACTGCCGACCATAGAATATCATTCCCATATTATCCCATTCCAATGTTCGCATGACGTTCTGGAGGGTGGCGGTAAATAATTTTGGCGAGATGGTGTCGCCTTGCTTAAACTCTCCTTTGACGTCGATGTTAATATCGTTGTAGAATGATATCTTGGTTATGAAATTTTTGTACAGCTCACGAAGAATCTTTATGTACTGAGTAGGGACTCCTTCACTATAAAGGGCTTCCATGACTGCTTCTATCTCAACTGAATCGCAGGCCTTCTCTAAATGATGAAAGTGAGACAGAGCGGTTTTTTGTACTCTCGCGATACTTCAATAAGCCTTGTTTTCGTGTGGATTTGCTCCATCGTACTAAACCCTTTCGAAACCCTGCTTGCTCACATGGCTGTCCTTCGTCCAGTGTTCTGTCAATCCTGTTTAGGGTGACTTGAGTGAAAAGTTTGTAGACGACAAACAGCAAGCAGACTGGGCGATAGTAGCCGATATCGCGTAGGTCACCCTTCTTGAAAAACAACACGGTCTTGCTAGTCTTCCATTGAGTAGGGACCTTGCATTCAGACAAGTAACGTCTGAAGAGTCTGGCCAGTGTATTAACGAAGACTGGCGGATGGTTCTTCAAGTGTTCTGATCTTATGGTGCCTTGCCTAATCTTTCTTTTGACGTTGGTGTTAGTTTCGTTAAATAACGATGTTTGATCGTAAAATTTTGATATAGTTCACGAAGAATCTTTATATATTCAGTAGGGACTCTCCATTTATCAAGGGTTTCCATGACTGCTTCTACCTCATTTGAGTCAAAGGCCTTCTTTAAATCGATGAAAGTGAGACAGAGCTGTCCTTTGTACTCTTGCTGTACTTCAACGAGTCCTATTATCGTGTGGATTTTGTTCATTGTACTGAATCCTTTTCGAAACTCTGTGGTTGTCCTTTGTCCAGTGTTCTGTCAAACCTGTTTAGAATGACTCGAGTGAAAAGCTTTTAGACGACAGTAAGCAAGCAGATTGGGTGATAGTTGCCGATATCGTGGAGGTCACTCTTCTTGAACAATAGCACGGTCTTGCTGGTCTTTCATTGAGTAGGTACTTTACATTCAGACAGGTAACGTGTGAAGAGCCGAACCAGTGTGTTTACGAGGACTGCCGTAATGTTCTTCAGGTGTTCGGGTTTTATCCTGTCCAGACTTGGTGCTGTTCGATTTTTCACCAACGAAATGGTATGTCGGATTTCGGAAGGGAGAACCGGTGGTACAACATATCCATCCTTCTTTATTTCATATTACGGGAGGTGGACGTGGCTATCGAAGAGATTAGGGTAGTAATCGTAAATGATTTTCTCCATTGCCTTTCTGGACGCTATAAATGTTGCACCTGGGCGTTGTAGTGCTAGTGCCATTTTGTGTTTGTAATTGGTAAAGCTTCGGTGGGCTTAGCAAATGCTTTTCCCAGCCTCGGCAGCTTCGACCATAACTGCTGCTCTTCTCTCTTTAAGGTCTTATTTTATCGCCAGCATGCACTGTTTTGCAAGTTCAAACGTCAGTTCGCGATTCCCTGCAGCTTGTGCGATTCCACGCCGACGTATCATTTCGAGTGTTTCTGGAGACATACTTCTCTTGGTGACTTTCGAGCTTTAGCCTTTACAGTGCTAAAGCGAAGATGTTGAATGAGCCTATTTCTCGTTGATATTGTCAAGAACTGTAGCTTCCCAACAGCCGACTGATAATTGAGTAAATCCCAGTTTATGGTGGTTTTCGAACTTCGTTTTTTGAGTCCAGCAGCTTTTTCTCCTTTCCGCGAAAAACGAAGTCTTGCACCAAAGAGGTGATTGGTGTAATTCCGTGTAGAATCTCGAGACAACAGGGACATAGGTTAGGCAAAACTACCATAATGTGGTCAATCTCGTTATGGTACTCTCCACTTGGAAGACTCCTGCGTCCAGCGCTGAGGGTGGGGCTTCTTGAATTGCGAGTTACCATCTTGGTTGTCACATTAAACTCAGACAGCCGTAAAGAAAAAGGTACAACTGGGTTATCATAACTCTTAGCAGCATTACTGCTCGTGAAGTATAAATGACAAAATGCTATTTTGTTGGCTGATGGGAAATGTTCTTTTCATTTATCCCTTAAATGTTCCCTTTTCCAGAACATCGGGGTTATCAGAATGAGGTGAATCTACAAACCACTCAGTGTTGAGTGGTTTCTGTGTTCCCTAGGATTCTAGTTCCCCGTCTTTCCAATGCCTGTGCCGAACATCGCGAGTTGAAAAACGAGTTTTGTAAATTTACACCACATCCGCATTTGTTTCTGATCAAGGTCGCTCCACACAAGAACCGAGACCGCTTTCTACTGTATTCACGGTTGAGCAAATCAGGTTTTCGAATGAATTCGAAAATTCCACGTTTTCAAGCTACGAAACGGACTAACCTTAAAATATCTCTTATTTCGGAGAATAATCGACCTTCGTTATTTGGGGTCCGATGCTGTTGCAGAACATCACGTAGACGTTCAGGTTGAGCCGTTATCGCTTTCTTCGCCCCATAAAAATGTCGTCTGCCTCGCTTATGCTTTGCTTTACGAGGACAGGAACACCTTCAATGCGTTGCTCAAGTACTACAGGTATATTTATCCCAGTAATGAAAGTGTTTGGCTACGCCCAACAGTACATTTGTTGACGTTCTGAGGAGAGAACATGCACAATTCGCAAATTCATTCCGTTGTTCAACTTTTACATAGCGGCAGCTATGTGTTGAATGCACCCGGTTACCCAGTCATGTGTGAATGCATTAATTAAAGCGATTGAGTTTGTGTAGAGCAATAGTTAAAGGCACCATGCAGTGAATGCAAGGCCGTTGGTTCAATCAGTGTCTTGGACACAGCATGTCGTCCGTCCCTCTAATGTCGACAAATTGGTACCAGAATTGCCTGTAGGAATAAACACATAGTTTATACATCGGTAGTCTTCGCTTGCCCTTGTATAGGTCACATATTGACTCAATCACTTCCATGGGGTCACGATTTAACTCAAATGCATAGTGCATCTCTATGGAATTCTTCAACGCCAAATGCTTCTAAGCCTTTGTACATTTGTGTTAATACTTCAGAATAAGTCAGAAGCGCGTAATCAAGCTTAGAAATTAACTAATCTTTTATGTTATTTTACTTCACGTAGGGTTGATTGAATACACAGATGGGACGAGAATCGAACAAACAACCATGTGCATCGTCGGGTACCTCTAAGCACTGCGCTAAACAAGCTAAAGCATACAAAAATACATTTCCACTAATTCAGAATTCGAAGCGATTTTCAGTATAAATTTTATTCTCAGATCTATTGGATCTCCTATTTAAGCCGAAGATATAACATTATGGTGGTCTACGTCGGCAGCATGACGGATGAGGTGTTCGAAGAAACTGCTCTGTATAAGGAGATATTGGAGATCGTGCCTTGGCCACTGCTTACTGACAAGTCTGTCGTTTTTTCTTTCAGATGTTCTTCCAAATTTGTTGATATTTCAAACACACACACACACACTTGTACACATACACACATATTCACATACACACACACATACACATACACATACACACACAAACTGAGATAGTCGAAATGAATATTAATCACTTGGGTTTCAGCAGCGTTTCAATGAAAAGAGGTATTTTTAGGAATAAAATAATTAGGAATGCATCAAAAGTGGTTCAGCAAAGTATCTATTTCACAAACAGCCACTATCCATCTATCCCAACGAGCTGAATCGTCATTTCTTCGTGGTCAATGTGACTACGTAGGAGACTAATTGTTCCGTGGCGAATAATGTACTGTCCTATGTGTTAGCTGTCTAACGGAAGTCATCTCATGGAGAACCGAAACACATCTGCTATCACAATAACTTTCGGAGTGGAAAATGAATGTCTAGCCATAAAATCTTCTTACTATTTTTTGAGAAATTACCTACCATTCGCATGGATGCGTACTGCGCAATGGTCGGAGGCGACCTGCAATACACATGGGATCGACCCCGGCACTCCAGGCTCACCAAACCTTCTATCCATTCGAATTCCACAAATTGGTACCAGACTTTTCTGGGAGGATATCAGCACTGGCTCGGTACTCGGTAGGCTACCGCGAGTCATTGTAAAGGCCAGCTATGGATCCAATCACCCCCAAAGGATGCTTAATGGAGTCGAATGCATGACGCATCCCTCAAGGATTGATTAATGCCAAGAGCTTTGTTTATCCTTTCACCTACCATTCCTTCTAAAAACCGATTTCCGTCTAACCTCGGCATAATTATTCAGTACTTCCTTGGCTTATTAAGCCTACACGAGGTTGGTAGCAATTTTTATTCAGCTAACGTCTCGTTTGCTGTCTTCGTCTTCCAGATTGATTCGAGTAGATTGTTAACAGCATTTCGTTTTCGTAAACTTCTATACTAACCTTGTGCTACCTTGATAGTCCAGGAAGATGATTCCCATTCTCTTCAGACCATATTCACAACTTCAATATGACTTCTGAATTCAACTTTTGTATCATTTCCATCTCAAATAAGTCCGAACATGCAATGTGCTCTCCTTATAGATCGTCGCTGGCATCGGATCGTCTGCTGCTGCGAGCACAATCGCATCTCGCGTCACAGATCGCCGCGTTCGCCGACTGCTGGCTGCGATTCGCACCGACATCGCGGCGAATCACCATGAGCGACATCGCGGCGATTCGCTTCGAACACGCATCATTCATGGAAACAGCCGGGTAAGGCGATCATGATTATCGCTTCTAAAAAGTGCACGCCATTCAGGAATTTGGGAAACAAAAGAAATCAGAAAACTACGGGAAACATGTGCCTTTTCAAGAAAGTTGACAGCTTCGCTTCTTCTGACATAATCCCGACAATGTCGCCTCTTTTCTCAAGAAATGACGATAATTTTTCAATATGTGGAGAACTTGAAGCATTGCAGACTTGTACAACAGGTGTTAACTTAACGTTCTAGTAGTATACATGGTCTTTCTGAACTACCGTCTAATACAACCATAACGATGCTGAGATATTTTCAAAACTCTGGACGGCAGGTGTCTTCGGTGGGGAACGGACGCGATATTACCCATTCTGGAGGCTAACGCGCTCACCACCACACCATGTGGGTCCATTCGCTTTGCCTGTCTCTCAGCTAGTACTATCGATCAGTGCCATCAGCAATCAGCCATCAACGGGGTTAATCTGGGGAACCACCCACATCGACATTGAACCCAGTTAAGAAAGCCTTATGCCTAGGTGAGCCCTAGTACTTCCTCAGTTCGATTACTTGTCATGCACCTGTCGTCCATTCAGAGGTTCGGATTTTTGCTGTTTCAGTCCCTTTGCGGCTTGAGGATTTCCCGTCTTCTCTCCTTATCGAAGTGCCGGCCGAACGCAGAAACTCAGACAGCACTATTTGGGCGCTTTAAAATCTAAGCCACGAAGCTTATCGCTATGGACGGGAAGGAATTTAGATGCCTCATAAACGGACTCTACTTTTCTTGAACGCAGGCGACTTCTTAGATTATACAACTGAATATACAACTAAGACTTTGAGGCTATGGGCCCTGTTTATAAGAAAACCATGAGTATTTAATGGTTGTTACCAACATTACCTGTGGGCGCGTGTGGCGCAGTGGTTGGAGGCGCCACTGCGACACGCACGTGGAATCGATCCCTGCACACATGGCCCATCAAGCCCTCCATCCCTCCGGGGTCGGCAAATTGGTTCCAGACTTGTCTGGGAGGATAGCAGCACTGGCTCGATACATCGGTAGGCCACCGCGAGTCATTGTAATGGCCAGATATGCATTCAGTCAGCTCCAAACGATGCTTTATGAAGTCGAATGCATTGCGCATTCCTCAGGGATTGATCAACTCCGAGAGCTTTATCCTTTTTATACCTACATTATCTATCCTTCGATGCTTTTACTTTTCAGGAGTAGGCCAGTGGGTTTCGTTGGTTTATGGGGACAAACATATTCTTATTCGGGAACCTGAATTTTTCCCATCAGGCCGGTGATGTTCCTGCTTGTGCATTTTCCACCGTGGTCCGGAGTTTCGCAAATATTTCAGCATCGCTGTGGTCGTAGTTCGCATAATACCCTGCCGTGAAAATTATAGTAGGTAGAAAATAAAAAGCAAACATTCTGATACCGTCTAATTTCAGAACACTTTAAAAATCCAGTTTTTGAGTAGCGTGCGCTTCCAATTTTATACGGTCGGTAGATATTTTGTTTAACATCTTATCGTATTCGATTTCGCTCAATGTGGCACTATTTAAATTCTCCATTACCGCTTTTGAAATTCCTCAGAAAAACTTCTGTTTTTTCGATATCGCTCTACTCTTCTCCATCCACTCCTTAGTGGAACGGTTTCTTGTAACAAGGACATGAAAAGCTATACCCGCCAGATCAACAATGCTCGATGCCGTGGTTCGTTAAGGCGCAAGTAGTGCAATGGTTAGAGGTGCCCTGCAGTACACATGGGTTCAATCCTGCACGCCAGGGTCACCAAGTCCTTAATCCCTCCTGGATCGGTAGAATGGTACAGACCTATCCTGGAGGATAACAGCACTGACTCGATACATCGGTAGGCCACTCTAGTCGTTGTATAGGCCAGATATACATTCAATAACCTCTGACGATGCTTGATGAAGCCGAGTGCATGGTGCATCTCTCAGTGACTCATCAACGCCGAGACCTTCATCCTCTTTGTGATTCACAAAATTACCAAAGTGACTACTGAAAACTTCTGCTGCTTTTGTGCTATTCAATTTCTCCATTATGGCTGAATCACTAGCACGATCACTACCAAGGCGTCGATCTCTCTTGGTTGGCCATCCAAAGAAGAATTATAGTTTCAGAGAGGAATAAGGTAGCTACTCCTAATAATTTGGAACATATGGTCCCATTTTTCTTGAAGGTGACGAAACGTCGCCAGTGAATGTGCCTTCCATCGGTTTGATTTATTTGTGGAAATAACTCGCCTGTGTTTTCGTTGACAAATATTTCGCCGTAACTTTCTGACAAACATACTGATAACGAAGCCACGTTGCGTTACACAATGCTTAGCAAACAAACTCGTTACAAGTGCAATCCGCCCCACGCGTAGCGAGCGAAATAACCATCGATCACCTGGAGAATTCTACGGAGTCCCTTTGCAAATCATCTACGTGTGGCACACAATCCGTTCAAAATGTGATTATTAAAGAACTGGGAAAATCAGTAGATTGGGACACCAAAATCAATAACCGAGCAGTGGCCGATGGCTGTCTATTGTTCGATTCAGAAGAACAACAAGAGATTGTTTGCAGACAGAGGCCGTTCACCGCAGTTGCCTTCAACTTTTGCAACAAATAAGACCAGTTCCGCATTTTTTATCATGAAACTATAATGCTTTGTTCCCAGTTGTTTTTTTTGTCTTTGAGACCCTAAAACTTCAAAATTTATAGTAGTTTGTCAGCATAGCGTTCCACACTTCTCAATTCTACAGCTCAGACCAACGAGGTGGGTAAAGAGGAAGTAAACCTCTGATATGAGCTACCCATGAGGAACCTAATCTCACCTTTCTTCTCGGCTTTTTAGAGGACATTTTCCTTCCATATTTTCTTCGACTAAAATCCTTCCCTAGTCGACTTTTAACCACATGTGCAACCACCCTTAATTTCTGGCCACGCGCGGCGTGCGTTGAAAAATTCTGATAGGTTTTTCTGTAAATTGTTCGGTGTAGAAAACATCTTTACAAGAACCTCCTCTGATGAAGTGTCTGTGTTGAATAAGTTACGGATTGAATGTAAGAGAAAATGGGTAGTAAACTCTTTGGGCAATGGGAAAGAATATGCATTGAAATAAATGCACACGGCCCCTTTAGTGTTGAAAAAAGGCGGCCGTTTAGTGTTTAGTTCTTGTAGAATTGTTTACTTATTCAGAGATGCGATCTTTAAACATGTTTATCCATCGTGGGCCGTTAACGAATTGCTCATCCATCGGATCGTGGAGAACGAATGTGAGATCCCATGCTTTTTGTGTCTATCTACAAATCTTCATTTAATTTATAAACTTACGCCAAAAAATGCTACGGTAGAAAAATTCTTCTATTAACAATAATCACTGCTTAACTTTTCAATATAGTAAAACGCTAACAGAAAGTAGGAAAAACATAAGATTCTAGGGAAAAGTTCCCGTCTTACAACTAGCTCATCACTCAGTTATTCCTGATATTTCGTTGCTCTCGTAAGGAGCAGCAGCCTGGATAATTCAATATTCAGGACTCTTTTTAAATAACTGTGAAGCTAGAGATCTATTAACACAGCGACTTTGGGAAAGTTTAAAGGGACCTTCAAATACTAAAAGAGTTAATTTTATGCTAGATCTTTTTAAAAAAAGACGTTGCGCACTGGTTAAAGGTCCTCTGCAACACACACGTGGAATCGATCCTCCCCTCCGAGCTAACCAGGCCTCCCATCTCCCAGAGACCAGTAAATTCGTACCAGACTTTTACGGAAGAAAAAACATGCCTTGATACATCGGTGGAGCCGCTCATTGTATAGCCATGAAGTTGGTCCCCATAAGGGGTTAATGAACAACGAACGCTTTAATCTTCGTCTTCCTACTCATTTTTGAGTATAATGAATAAAAATCATCAAAAAAGCCAATTTCGGTCCACATAACATAACTTTAGTTGGGTAACTTCTAGAATAAACAATACACAGCATCCCTCCGAGAAATCATCTCCGAGTGGGTGAATGGGAACATTAGCTAGACGTTCCCCCCAAAAAACACAGCCTCTCCATCCGTATTTTACATCGAGTCATTAAATATTGCTTTTATACGTAGAAATACATATGGGAGGATTACGGAAGGTCTGTTTGGGCAGGAGCACAAGAACTAACAAGTCCCGTAGGCAGGAATCTGGATAAAAGTCTTGAGTGGAAGTCGAACGGATCTCAAAACGTGTCGTGTCGGTGCGTGAACAACCGTGAGTCATTCATAAAAACGAACAGCGATCCGAATGCGGAAAGACATCGCTGAAATTATCTGTTCAGTGCCCCTGTCAATGATTCATTTCTCGTAGAATCAGGATAATTCCAGCATATATAGAAAAGAACTGGAGTGTTTAAACTTCATTTCTAACTTCTAAAGGAAAAAAATGCCTCTCATAAAAAATTTGATTTTTTAGGAACTGAAGTGGTTCTTTAAGTGTTATAGATGACGACATCTTAATTGATGAGCACTGCTATGCTCGTGGAGAAGTGTTCGGTTGGAAATCGGACTGTTACAGGACCATCCAAGATGAGAAAAAGGTTGGTTCGAAAGTTGTTTTGACGTCCAATGAGTTCAGCTTATAGGTATGAGATGTTCTAGCAAAGACGCATCTAAAAGAAGTGACTAGTTTCCGTATTAGAGGCCTCCCTTGACTCTGTAAAATTCTCAGTAATAAAGGCTTTAGAGTAGCATGGGTAGCATAGCTAGTTATAAACACAGCTTACAAGGCACCATTTGGTGTATCCTATTAAGATATTGTAATTTCGATTGCGACTTCCGCTTAACCTGGTTCAATGCCAATCTGTGCTCCCCAGATCATTCCCGTTGCGGGTGATTGCTGATAGTACCGTTAGAGCAGTAAACGACTGGATGAGAGAACGGTAAAGCAACGGTCTCGGTTAGTGTGGTGGACGCGTAAGATTTCGCATAGTAACCTGCTATGAAGAAAAGAAATATGACCGCCTCTATTATTCCGTTCTATTTTTTCTTTTTTGAATTTCATTTTATTCGATTAATGATAAGTCATCCAGAAGAAAAAATATACCATTACATGGCTAGGAATGAAAGAATCGTTTTATGAATATTTATATGATCTTCCCTGCTTCGTTGATTCATTAGCACTCTACGGAGACCTAAAACAAAGCAAAACTTTTGCTATCCTTTCCGTATTTAATAATATCTCTAGAATATCTAAACACAGTCGATAGATCAACTAAAATATCACTGTTCCACAGAAAATTTATAAACGATAAAGGATAAAGCTCTCTCGGCGTTGATCAATCCCTGAGGGATGCGCCATGCATTCTACTTTATTGAGCATCGTTTGGAGGTGACTGAATGCATATCTGGCCATTACGACGACTCGTGGTGACCTACCGATGTATCGAGCCAGTGGTGCTATCCTCCCAGAAAAGTCTGGTACCAATTTGCCGACCCCGAAGTGATGGAAGGCTTGGTAGGCCAGGGGCGCTGGGGTCGATTCAACGTGTGTGGTGCAGGGCACCTCCGACGACTGCGCCACACGCGCCCACAGAATATTTATGCAGCCATGAAAAACAATTTTTATGGTCCTGCGGTTTATCTCATGTGGTAGATTGGATGATCTAGAGTTTACAGCAACCTCAATCCGTTCTCAACAGATGTTATCGTAAACATTTTCCCTACAAAGAGCATAGTGTACCAACATCTGATTGCTCTTGGCTTGATAAACAGCTAATTGACGTTTACAGTCTGCCTAGCTATCCTTTGGTAAGAAAATTGCCTACGAATAAACGCGAGTCAGAAATGAATCGAACTGATCACGTCAGGAACCTAAGTACCGGTCATCAATTCTCCATAACATTTCGGGAACTAATAGATATAAGATGGAAGCAGGTTGGATTCTACGGGAAAAAACCAAATGATGACGTATCTGACGAATTCAACTAATCGTGTGTGGAATACGCTTCAGAACATCTGTTTAGATTTACGTGATGCCTACGAAACATCAACTCCAGAATTTATTTTTCATTTATAGTTCATTTTATAGAAATATGTAGCAGTTTTTAAAGCTGTCTTGCAATGCAGATGTGGTCATAGCTTTTTTCTCGCACTGCAACAATCAAGTATCCCATAATTACGTGGTCGGAAAATTGTTACTATGCCTACCTGGAAAAGTGTCTTCAGCCCACAAAAGCCGAGGTCTATCTGTTTTTAAGAACTCGGAACCCTCTAATAGAGCCATATCAGTTTAGCAGCATGAACCTCCTTCAAGCAGCATCAACGATACTCATGGTGAAGACAAAAATTTCGAATTACATCCACACACAAACATCCGGAAACTTTCGCCTATGGTGGATTCGAGGGAGCAAATCAAATAAAGGAAATGTTCGTCTCCGTACACATGTATCAGAAGCGATAGGAAATAGTTGCAATCGTTTCGCTGAGCTAAACTAAACTTTAAACTAAGCTAAGCTTCAAAAGAGATACTAAGCTATTTTATATATGTTCTAATGATCATCCGGATCTTGTTGTATTACGAGCACACACCAGGCTATAAAAAAAGCATTTCACTGTGGCTAGCGTCTCTTTCGCCTTCTTCAGAGTTTCAATAATCGGGATAGGAAGTCCACAGGAACTATTTCTTGCGATTTAGGTCTTCCTAGTCGCATAGTCTTAAATCCACTTGGAATGGAACACCTCACGAACATCAATCAGCCCACTATTTATCGAACCAAACAACCGCTTAATCTTAACTCTTTCATTTACTGCCTTTTTCTTCTTAATGGCAGGGTATGTTGTGAAATATAACTCGTATGAAGTGCTGAGATATTTGCAAAACTCCGGACCACAGGTGTATGCAGTGGGGAACGAACACGCGCTGTTGTCCTTACCGGGGAGCAGCGCACTTCACCACTACACCATCCAGGTCCTTCGCTTTGCATGTATCTCAGCTAGTCGCTATCTCAGCCAATCGCTTAATCTACAAAGATTATTGAAGCCGCCTGCAAGAACCTAGTGATTGTTGAAGTCGATCTTTCAGTATTTTCAAACCATTTCCATTCAGTTTACTTTTCACTGTTAATTTTCAGAATTCAAGTGTGGAAACGATTTTGTTGAGGAAATCGAGATTGCTGCCAACTGCCACCAATTACCAAAACGACATCGAGCGGTATGTGTTCCTTGTTTCTTCCACTGATACGCAAATTGACGGACATCACGTCAAGCAAAACGACGCAAAGTAAAGCACTTTTGTAAAAACACAACACCTTTTGAAGAAGACAGAAGATAAAGCCACCGGCGCTGATGAATCTTTGAAGGGATACGCTGTGTATTCAACATTATCAATTATCCTTTGAGATTTTGATTTAATGCATATCTGGCCCATACATTCACTCGCGGTGACCTACCGCTGTATCGAGCCAGTGATGCTATCTTCCCAGATAGATCTGATACAGATTTGCCGATCTCGGACAGATGGAAAGCTTGGTGAGTCTGGGAGGCGGTATGTAACCCAAGTGTATTGCAGGACGCCTCTAACCACCCTTGATGCCCTTTACTTCCTTGTTATTGACAAAAACTTTCTACTAAACTTTCAGCTGCAAATTCGGGTTAGTTGCTTGTATTCTTCTTCATGTTTAGATTGTCCTACAACGGGCTTTATAACAGGAATTATAATATAAATTTTGATCTCAAGGATATGTTCGAGGATTTGCAACGAATTTATATCACTTTGAAAAATTCGAACGCAGCCATTGAACTCCCCTTCCTTTTTAAGCAACATCTCCCAACGTTTGCAAGTTCTCTCAATTCCTTCATATCACACAGTACCCCCTTCTTCAGTTATAATCAACTTGTAATATCGTCAGAGTATATAGCACAGGTCCTTTCAAAAATACAAATGTGTTCTGTGAACTCATTTTTCGCCAGTTTGTCAACCTTTTAATTTTAGATGCCTACAGTACAAACCGTCGCAAGTCGAAAAATCGTCGGTTATGAAGCTGGAGTTTGATCTGGAAAAGAAACGACAAGATCTCGACCCGTGTGAACTGCGGTTACGAAGGGAAAGTATGCGATGTCGCGTTGCCGTCAAATACAGCAGCGTCATGTTTCGCGAGCGAATGAAGATCAGCCTAGTGAAGAAGAGGGGTTTACTGTCGTTCTCACACGGGTGCCACCTCTGATCAGCAACCAGTGGTCTCTTCAATAATCCTCATTTATGCACTGAATATACACCATGATATGATCTTTATTCAGTACTGGAATTGAAAGTGATGAAATCCCGAAATCTAATCTACCCCTTATATCAGTTTTAGCACATCCATGGCAGTTCGCAAAACTTACTTTCTACTATTTCTTTCTACTCGTTGGTAAATAATATACTATTTCCTTCAGAAGCACACACGAAGATGTTACTACATATTATCCCACAATAGTTAACGTTTCGTCGGATTTCGCCCTCTTCAGAACCTGGAAAGATCAAGTTAATTGCAACCCAGTCAGCCTAAGATCTCCATAGCGTCAATGGAAAAACCGCGAGATACATAGATTTCAATCGCATTGTAGATAAAATAGCTACTTCACACACTCACCGCTATGAGTCCTCCAGTGATTACTCCATGTGGACACCAACAGCATAGAGCCCACATGCGTAGTCAGCCCACACGTCAAAATCAGTCAGCCCACACGTCAAAATCAATCTGAAATATTGTGTGGCAGCGTAGTCACAAGGCACTCCTTCCACGATTCATTTTTGGGACCTTGGAATTTATCCAAAATGCTTCGACGGTTTTACGCGTGGAAGTTTTAGATTCCCATTGAAGGACGGTGACTTCTACTTCAAAACATTCTTCGTTATTTCTGTGTCACATACGCACTTAGTGGAGTATTTTGTCTAACTTTACGCTTACCGTCTATGTTCAACGTTGGAATTTCACGTTTGCTTTGCAAAATTGCATAATCAACTCTAACGCTATATCCGGTGGTTGGACGAGTTCGGGTATAATGTACCTGATCTCTTGTGAAGCCTTCGTGGACGAATACAGTGAGGAAACCAGTGGGGCACTGTGCGTCCATACAAAAGAAAACTTATGCCGTAAGTGTACAGCCGAACAAAATGCTCCATCAGGAGCGAATAGGACACAGACATTTAACGGGGACATTATCAAATATGAGCTACCATCCTCACACAGGTGAAACTTCAGCGCGTAGAACTATCGAAGCATTCTGGACGTATCCCAGAAATTCAGAAATGAACCGCAAGGAGGAATGCTCCGTTATCAAGCGATATCTCATACAATATCAAACTCGTATTTTCTTTAACGTGACAGCAGCTCATTACTCATTCATTTGAACTTCGCACAGTTGTCTCTAGGTGGAATACTCAGCGTAAAACACATAGAGAGCGGTGGGTGTGTTATGAAGCTGTCTTATTCCCAATGCGATTGAAAATTAGGTATAGTAGGTTTTCTGTTAGGGTTATGGTATTTGGTTGACTAGATTGTCGTTAGCTTGACCTTTCCAGGAATTGAAGAAGGCAACATTCACAGAAACGTTAACTGATAGCATGTAACCACTTGTGTGCTTACCAAGAAAATAGCAAATTGTCTTTGTTTTACTCCTTTTTACAGTACGCAATATGTACTCTCAAGGTTCAGGATTCATTCGAGGAACAGAAAATCAAAATCATTGTATGAGACCTTTCATTTTCCGTTTTTCATTTTCGTAGCAACAAGCCACGGGTATGTCGCCGAGCTCTCCTCTAGCCCAAACCTAAATTGCCCTAACCCCTTAAACCTACATGCACTACCAACAGTCAATTAAACCATGTACTACTTACACCGTCGCCAATGTGCTATAGATGAGCTACCACTGCATCACTAGTTTCGCACACTGTAGTAGAGAATAAAAAATAATCGCATCCCTAGTTGTAATGAAGTAGTAAAGAAAAGTGGAGACATCTCAATAAAAATGACTGCGTTCACTAAAAAAGGATAAAACTCTCGGCGTTGATCAATTCCTGCGGGATGCGCCATGCATTCGACTTCAAAGCATCCTTTGGAGGTGAATGAATGCATACCTGGCCATTACCAATGATTCGCGGTGGCCTACCGTTGTATCGAGCCAGTGCTGCTATCTCCCAGACAAGTCTAGTACCAATTTGCCGACCCCATAGGAATGGAAGGCTTGGTGGGCCATGAGCGCGGGGATCCACTCCAGGTGTATGTTGCAGGGCGCCTCCGACCACTGCCCCACACGCGCTCCCGACTGTGTCCATTACGTCAAATAAACTAGCGGTGCTGAAAAATCAGTGTGATCAAGCATACCAATCCCGGTGAAATAGACCATGCATTCCCGTGCAGCTAATTTCGCAGTAGCGTTTTCCCTATCTGTCCAGAAGAAACTCATTAATGAATGACTGGCATTTAAGTCATCTGAGAGAAGAAGCTTACTGCGCTTATCGCAAATGGTCTCTAGTAGAAACTGCTCTTCAGTAAAAAAGCGATAAGACCCGCAGAGTGCCACATTCCGTTGATTCTCACATAGATAAAAACTGCGTAAAACGGAGTGCCCATCAACACATTCGCGAGCGTATGCACTGATTTTAGTGCACGCGTGTTTGAGATGACGTCTTGAATAGTACAACTCGGTTTCAATGCATGTGATGCCTTTTTCTATGATAGGTAGTGTTTTCCCAGACGTTTCGTCTACTGAAGCATAAAATGCTGGCATAGCATTCCTTTCTCAAGTAAATTTATCATTGTCATAGTTTCACTATCAACACGACTGATGAATGATATCAGTTGTAAAATTCACTAAGAAATCGTATTCTCAATTGAGCCTTTCAAACGCTGGACAGGGGAAGACGACTGATAAGTTAGTCAGTTATCTTATCATTAACAATTCGCTACAAACTACACACTGAAACGAGAGAAGGGCCGGGAGAGGAGATACCTGATCAGGTGGCAAACGTCTTGTCACTGGAAGAGAGTCATGCAACATTAGTGTAAACATTTGTGCTTTGTTTGTTACGAATAAAAAATACGACTATGTTAAATAAGTAACAAGTTGTAACACAGCACATGCTAGTTCTAACTCAGTTTTTCTAGCTTGGATAATATCGTCCTACTACACTCCAACGGCACGTGTGGCGCAGTGGTTGGAGGCGTCACTGCGAAACAGACGTGGAATCGATCCCCGTACCCATGGACCACCAAGCCTTCCATCCCACCGGAGTTAGTAAATTGGTGGCAGACTTGTCTGGGAGGATAGCAGCACTGGCTCGATACATCGGTAGGCCACCGCGAGTCATTGTAAAGGCCAGATATGCATCCAGTTACCTCCAACGGTTCTTAATGAAGTCGAATGTTTGCCTGGATTCATGGAGCCTCAAAAAAACTCGTACCGAGAGAGCGTGTATGAATGTTCAGATGTCGTCTACTATTTAATGGAAGAAATCTTCAGCTTCTGACATTCTCATTGTATCCCCATGCACATATAACTACAGTTTTAAGGATTGGGTGATAAACAATCAACGATAACAAGAGCGACCGTATCGCAGTCATCAGAGCTACCTAGCAGTAGACAAGGTGGGTCGGTGGTTCGACCCCATGCCGCAAGGTAACCGACTCTCCCTCTCTCCGTGCTCACGAAATTGGTGCCAGATTTGTGTGGAAGGATAGAAATGCTGACTTGCTGATACGTCGGTAGGTATATAGGCACACAAATCACTGCATAAACCAAATATTCGCCCAATTACCTCTACAATGTTATGAATGGAGTCAAATGCACGCAAACTGCTTAGAGCAATGCAGAACCTTACATATTTACTCTATAGGCGAACAAGTATTCACGGACTGTCACTGCAAAATCGTCTTGCAAAAGCGTTCAGAGAAATTACTGGTGACTACATATTTTTCATTTAGCATTTGCTATACAGAACTACTTCTTTTCTTTAAGGAGCTGACATAACATCAATTCTGTTGAGAAGTAGGTAGCGCCGTTAGGGTGATCAACATGTGTTGAATACTTATTTACTTGGATACTTGGATGACCCGTCATCATTGGTTGTAAGAACCCCAGCATAGTGGTAGCTCATCTATAGCACATTGGCGACGGTGTAAGTAGTACATGGTTTAATTGACTGTTGGTAGTGTATGTAGGTTTAAGGGGTTAGGGCAATTTAGGTTTGGGCTAGAGGAGAGCTCGGCGACATACCCGTGGCTTGTTGCTACGGAAATGAAAAACGGAAAATGAAAGGTCTCATACAAAGATTTTGATTTTCTGTTCCTCGAATGAATCCTGAACTTTGAAGTTGTGCGAGCCCCAGCATTATTTCCAAATTTTTGGAGTTTTGCTGGTTTAGCTATTGTGGTTCCCTGGAGACCCGAGGTCAGCATAGCCGAAATCTGCCCTAGATCGTCACCACCACAGACAGTTGAAGCCCTTGTGGATCAAAGGGAGATTCCACCACGCGACTAGTTCCCTACCAGGACGGTGGTGGATTCTGGTATTGGTTTACTCTTAGCAGTGCTTCCTAATGGAAACACTGGACTCCTTCCCAGCTCGGAAGGCCCTGCTGCTAGGAGGAAGAATACCCTGCTAAACATCGTAGCCCGACACCCAGGAACACCTCTCAGCCACTATGAGGCGCTAAACATATGTTGGATAGGACGCATAATTTTAATATACAAAATAATGGGATTAAAAACGAGTATCCATCGGCGCGACAATCATAAACAATCCTATTCGACATTCCCAATAATCAAACCGGCATAAGCCTTTTTACTTCAAAGCCAAATGCTACTTCCCAGACAGAATCCACATAAACCTACAACACTCTTTCTCTTAGTCATCAGACTGACTATATAGTAGCAACAACGGCTTGTTAATTTCAACGAATTACATTAATTCAAATAAGACATATGATCACCTCAGAGGTAGAAATTCGAGAATGATGATGACGTATGAAGTAAGTAAATGCGTTGTATTGAGAGAAAATATGCATCATATCTAACCCTTTCACGATATCGGGCACTAATTTCAATGTGTACGCTGGCGGACCCTACTGACCATGCATATTGGTTTCAATGCGCACTGAAGCCCGGTGGTGGCGCGGGCCATTTGAAATTAGCCGTACTCGCGAAAGGGCTCACTATGTAGAACAAAGACACGACGTAGAACAAAAAACCAGTTATCTTTATGCAAAAAGGCCTCGAGAAAAGGCATATAGGAAGCCAGGTCTTCCTAGAACGACTGTAAGCATTGACCAACATGGAATCCAACGAGCTTTTCCACAGCATGCAAGCTGACTAACGACTCGGACTCCGCGTCGCCATCGGAGCCGTTCTACTCGCGTGCGATCGATGAATGAATGATCTCTGGCCGATCGGGGTTGTCGTGAACTCGACGTGCCCAGTTGTCCCACGTTGATTGATATGTTCCATGCGATGCCCCCGACTGCTCTCCTTTCCCACTCGCCCGTGCCCCGTCCCCTGTCGTCGTGGTGCAGGCTCTGTGTTGACGTCGCAGTCAGCCTGTGTGTGATGCCAACAGCTAGTATGTTGACGATATTCTGAATGGTATGCATGCTAGCATATCACATTGATTTCAGCCGTTCGAAGCTCATAACAACGTTCACAATCAGACATTGATTAATTTTCATGATCCTCTCTTTCGCCCCCGCAAGTGCATTTCCATCGTGCTACATTCTGGTGCTGGTCTGGTGTGTTCTCATACTATATACTGTACTACTCATACTTGTCGAATTCTTCCGGATTTTTGGAGCGTCGAAAGGTCGTGCATATATTAGCACCACCAGCACTGAGTATTTGAATATTATTTCAACTTTTTTTTTGCAAATTACTACTTAGCAGTAATACTACAGTGAAGCTGATCCTGTCTATTACGCCGATGGCCCGACCTACACAGACGCTTGTTCGACTCCGCCCCAGCACCGACGAGCCTTATCCTTCCGGGGTGGGGGAATTTCTACTAGACTCGGCTGGGCAAGCCACTCCCTCTAATGTGCGCAGGAGCGACTAAGTAGGGCTAGCCTAGGCCTCTAGGGAGAATGGTGTGGACCAGCATTCAACAGTATTTGTGACGGCGACGAAAACGTCATCAAGCAGCAGTTGAGGCCACACGCTGAAAGAAAAAGCTAGGAGAACTTCTTGGATGGTGGATGCAAGTAGGTAGATGGAATCCATATACATATGACGATGAGTCATGTAATAAGAAACAAAATCACTTTGATGCACTTTTTTGTCCTTAAGTAATTTTATTTTTCCGCTATCTTTTGCCGTGTTTTATTGAACTTCACTCTTCCAAGTGCCTTATTATTCCTAAGGTTTCCTTCTTCAGACGATGTTGAGTACTTTGGCACGTACTTCGGGCCGTTTGGTGTTCGGACGTGCCTACGCATCGGCCCAAATGGATGCTCACGCTCAAGTCATTGATGACCAGAAGCCTATGGATGAGCAAAGCAATCCGTCCTTCTACAAGGTATGTTTCTTTCTAATGTTCTCGATCTGTTTTCCACTGGATAATGGAAACGTTTTCTAGATGGTTGACTATTACTTCGACAAAGGAGCGACTGTAATTGAACCGAAGTTGGTCGAAGAAATGAAGTCAAATTCGATGAGTGTCAAGGACAAGAAGAATCTCGTCAGTGGAATTTTGAAGGCTATCAAGCCTGTCAACAAAGTAATCATTTCAATCAATACTTCTGATTTGGCGTGGCAAATGTTCTATTCCATGTCCTATTGAGGTTTTGTATATCACATTCCCTATTCGTCGAGATAATGGAGAATTCGAAGTTATAGAAGCATGGCGTTCGCAGCACTCTGAGCACCGAACTCCAACAAAGGGTGGAATTCGTTATTCTCTGGATGTTTGCGAAGATGAGGTGTGTTTTCCGTTGTAATCTCGGGTTCGGTTTTTCCCATGTTTTCAGCAGTTTAGGTGAAAGCTTTGTCCGCATTGATGACATACAAATGCGCTGTTGTCGATGTCCCGTTTGGAGGAGCAAAGGGAGGAGTGAAAATTGACCCGAAAATGTACACGGACTATGAAATCGAGAAGATCACACGTCGTATTGCCATCGAATTCGCGAAGAAGGCAAGTGTTTCTTCTCAATATTTTTGCTTCTTATCAGTTTTTTTAAAATTTATTCACACTTCCAAAAATGCCTGAGTCTATAAGTGGTATGGTTTAAAAGTGCATGTAAGGTCCCTCAATTAATACATGATAAGTACGTCTGTAAAGGTTTTTGCGTTGTTCATTTTCCCACTTATTTTTTAAGAACTAAGGCTATGTGGTAAAAGGATAAAAGAATAACGCTCTCGGCGTTGCTCAATCCAAAGGATGCGCCATGCATTCGACTTCATTAAGCATCATTTGGAGGTGATTGAATGCATATCTGCCCTTTACAATGACTCGCGGTGGCTTACCGATTTATCGAGCCAGTTTTGCTATCCTCCCAGACAGGTCTGGTACCAATTTACTAACCCCTTAGGGATGGAGGGCTTGGTGAGGCATGGGCCCTGCGGTCGATCTTATGTGTATTGCAGACGCCTCCAACCATTCGGCTACACGCGCCCTCTTGCTCTTGCGATATACTACTTTCGAGAAAAGCTGATGGGGGCTATACGTGCCATGATCATTATAAAAATAACATTATAAAAGCTTTTATAAACGGTGCTGCTTTCATATTATCTTTTTCTTTGCCGATTTAATATGGTCTTTAGAAGTGTAACGTGGTGAATATACGGCAACCTGGGCGGGACATGTAGTGTTTGATGTTTGATTTGAAATATTGCTTGGTTTTGCCTTTTTTGTACACAATAGTATTGCAGATCGCAATGGTTGTTATATACATCTGCAATCATTTTCGATTCTTTTTTTACTTTTGGTGCTGGGCGCATGTAGGCGCAGTGGTTAGGGGAGCTCTGCAATCCACATAGGATCGATCACCGCGCCGCAGGCTCACTAAGCCTTCCATCCTTCCGTGGTCGGCGAATTACCAGACCTGTCTGGGAGAACAGCAGCACTGGCTCGATACAACGGTAGGCGACCGTGGGTCATTGTAAAGGCCAGATACGCGTTCAATCACTTCCAACGATGCTTGATGAAGTCTAATGCATGGCGCATCGCTCAGGGATTGATCAACGCCTAGAGCTTTATCCTTTTTTATTTTTATATTACACTAAACTGGTCGATGTTTGTGTCAATAATATTGTTTTTCTCTTTTCGCCTTCGTCTTTCGCCATTCGCACCAACACTGGCTATGATTCCCCACTACCTGTTATGACATTTTTGTGTCCTGAACACGTATTTAAAATCGTATATAATATGTTATATGTTATATATATGTTATATGGCATATGTTAACGCTGTGCGTAGGTCATTAAATTGCAGTTGTGCCCTACTACTGGTGTTTAACACATTCGTAACAACGTCTAATTTCTTGTGGCGTGCTTATGGGACGACGCCTAATTTTTTGCGCGACTCACTGTGCTTTCGGTGGAAATCATATCGGCCACAATGTCCTGCAATTTGAAAACTGGGTCCAAATATTGGGTTTTTCTCTTCGTTTTGAAAGAATTTCTGTGCTTCTGTTAACCTATGTATGCCCTATGTTCTTGTTTACATCCTGCCATGTTTTTGGTGCATATACAACTCTTGTATGTAATGAAAATAAAAGCTCGTCCACTGTGCAGTTATACTGCTGTCGGCATTCAATAAAGTTATAGATCTGCAAGGAATGTTTATCCATAGGATGGATGGAACTCCTGGAAAGACCTCAGTAGAGGCCATACCGGCCACTGTGACCTATTACAAATGACGTACATAGAGGTAACGTCGTCGCGAATGTGTTAATGAACCTGCTACAACTATAGGTGTCAAGACAATCTCACAGCATGTGACAGAAAAGTCAAATAGCCGAGGAAATTCGTCTGATTCAGATCTGAACCTCAATTTTTAGGGATTCCTAGGTCCTGGTGTAGACGTGCCAGCCCCCGACATGGGAACTGGAGAACGTGAAATGGGATGGATTGCTGACACATATGGTCAAACAATTGGACATCTTGATAGAGTAAGCTTATCTCTTTTTTCTCTCAGAATTTCGCAATTCGTTATTATGTTCTAGTTTTTAAAGTATCGTAATTAGGACGCATCCGCATGCATCACTGGAAAACCCATCGTCGCTGGTGGCATCCACGGACGTGTTTCTGCTACAGGTCGCGGTGTTTGGAAAGGGCTTGCAGTATTTACTAAGGAGGAAGAATACATGAAAAAGGTGAACGACGGAAAAACGCTATAATCAAGTTCAGGATGATAGAACGTGACGGATTAGAACAACTATTTGTTTCTTATAGCTTTATATAGTATTACATTTCTTCTGTGCAAATAGGCATATTCTTGTCTCACAGTAACCTACATCTTTTCAAATGGTCCAGATTTGCAAATTGGCTCCGTGTATATCTATGTCGTAACCGTGTGAGGTAAATCAGCAGGTTTTTGAACCGCTATTTCTAGATTGGTCTCACACTTGGCTTGGTTGACAAGACTGTCATTATTCAAGGATTCGGTAATGTGGGACTTCATACAATGCGATATCTTCACAGGTTCTTAATATTACTATAAAATGCATCGAGCCTGTGTTTATTTTGCTCATTTTCCCTACATGGATTCGTCTCTAGGGCAGGAGCAAAAGTGATAGGAGTCCAGGAATGGGATTGTGCCATCTACAACCCTTCAGGAATCCACCCAAAGGAGCTTGAAGACTGGAGAGACCAGACAGGGAGCATCAAAGTCTGTTGCTTATTGTAAATCACTTTCCAGTTGTTTTTAGACATGCTGCCGTACAGCCAGTATTTCCAGAACTTCCCTGGAGCAAAAAATTTTGAACCGTTCGGCGATCTTATCTATGAACCCTGTGACATACTTGTACCTGCTGCATGTGAAAAGGCTATCCACAAGGAGAATGCCAACAGAATTCAGGCTAAGGTGCTTCTTGTAGATTCATTTCCCAAAGACTTTTTGAAAATCAGAGACTTACCATAGATTATTGCTGAGGCTGCCAATGGACCAACAACACCTGCTGCTGACAAAATCCTTCTAGAACGTGGCAATTGCCTTATCATTCCTGATATGTAAGTTTTTCGTCTCATAACTGTGGACAAGATACATTTTAGTCATAAGTTATTAAGGTACATTAACTCCGGTGGTGTGACTGTATCATATTTTGAATGGCTCAAGAATCTTAACCACGTCTCATACGGACGACTCAGCTTCAAGTATGAGGAAGAATCAAATAGAATGCTCCTCCGTATGTTTATCAACGAGTGATCTCACTAGTCGTTTATTCCTTCATTTTAACGATATCATCACAGGTTTCCCTTGATATCTAACTTGTAAATTGGTCAGAGGAATTTTCTGAATGCATATTCAGAATCCGTACAAGACTCGTTAGAAAAAGCTATCGGCAAGGAAGCACCCGTACAACCTAACGAGGCTTTCGAGCACAAAATTGCTGGAGCCAGTGAAAAAGTATCTTTACAAAAGTCCTGGATGAAGTACATATTTAGGGTGCTGACCGCTTTCTTTTTAGGATATTGTTCATTCCGGTCTTGAATATACTATGGGTCGCTCTGGTGGTGCGATCATTCGCACTGCCCGCAAGTACAACTTGGGCTTGGACATTCGCACAGCGGCATATGCAAATGCCATAGAGAAGGTCTATAACACCTACCGGACCTGCGGTTTCACCTTTACGTAGATGGAAAGAGTTGATAAAGAGTGATATAAATATTGATTATACTCATAATTCGGTCTCAGAGCTTGCTACTTTAATGTTTTAAAACAATTCTAGTCATAAGCTAACTAGGTACAAAATAACACTTCGAAATACAAAATATTGTTATACAAACACAAAATTCTTAACGAAAGCTATGAGTTACATCCACAACAATTTGATTCTTGCTTGTTTCAAGCACAACTAATGGAAGGGAATGTGTTTGCTGAGTGCTAAGTTTGATTTGGTTTCCAGGTTTCGTTCCCCACTATTTGCTGTGGTATTTGTTCTTGTATTTGACAGACATAAAATTTATTACTATAAAACTTAACGTCAACAATATAACAACAATGGAGAAAAACAATTGTCCCTAGACCTAACGCACGTAATACTCCATAAGCACTATAAGCATTGAATACAATGCATTTGGTGAGAAAATGTGCCTGATTTGAACTTTTAGGTGGCATATCAAGGATTTTATAGTGATTCTTCAATCGAAACAGGAACAACCAGGATCTACAGACCTTTACCTATAGTATACAAGTTAGCAGATTCTACCAAGATGCAATCCTAATTTTCTCTCACTTTTTGCGCCAGTGTTCGCTTTGAGGATGTTAGTTCCAAGCATATTTAAATTTGAATGGACACTGACTGCATAAGATCATATTAAACTTTATAGGGACCGAACAAGGTATGTTGAATAAATTTGTGGAGTTCTTGTTTCCTCAAATACCCCTAATGGTCAAGGAATTACCACCAGTTGTCCAGGTGTTACGTGTTAAGCTTGCTTTTCATAGGACATTTTGTATCCCATGAAATCTACTGCGTCACGAACCCACTGAGGAACAGGCTCTTCGAGGAAGCTATCGCTTAGGAACTTCTTCAGAAACAGTTGTACCTTGTCGGATTCGATTGCCTCTCGTATATCTTCCATTAAGCGCAACTGATGCCTGATATTGTGTACGGACAGAAGATGGCATCCCACTGTTTCCTAAAATTTTAAACCGTTATTTGCCTTATCAATTTCCACATGTGTTATGTGGTTAAGGGAAGCGTAATTTAAAAAAAACTGACAGTGGGTATCTATGGTGATACATTATTAAATCTCGTCTCAAACTCGACAAATTTTAAATATTTGTCCCGTTGCTTAATAACTCATGTAGCGCAGCGGTTGGAGGCGCGCTGTAATATGTACGTGATCGATTCCCGCGCCGCTAGCACACCAAGCCTTCCATCCCTGCGGGATCGGCAAATTGATACCAGATTTGTCTGGGATGATGACAGGATTGGCTGGATACATCGGTAGGCAACCGCAAGTCACTGTAAAGGCCGGATTTGCATTCAACCATCTCCAACAATGCTTAATGAAGTCGAATACATGGCGCATCCCACAGGGATTGATCAACGCCGAGGACTTTGTCTTTTATTATTTAATATAGTGGTTCAATAAAATGCAACCAACAATATTAGATGATCTTAACTTCACATATTTGCAACGAAACGTAATTTTGCGGCTGCCGTGTGGACGGTACTAAACTTTTCGCTGGACGCACTGTGAATTGAATTCATCTCATACCGGCCACAATACCGAGACAAAGGATGAACGTACTCACTTTACGGCGTTTTTCGCCTCATATGTCAGCCTTTCTACGTATTTCACTACTGATCTCTGCGTTTGTCCTGTCATACAAATCCTCCATATTCCTTCATGTACTTTTGTACTTTTTGGAACGCGTCGTTTTCTTGTTCAGCAATTGCGAGGTTGTTATGCAGCATACATTTACTTCCATAGAGAAACACAATAAAATACAACGCTAGCTGACGTTTCGGCAGTATCGCCTTCTTCAGAGCCTGGAAGGGTATACTGATATACAATTTACTAGGCCAAACGCTTCAATAACACATATAAAAAGACGAAAAACTCTATGCTAATTACATGATCAACAGCTTCTCGAAAAACTCACCGCTTTTTTACGTGCCTTCCAATGAGGAAGATTAGAACAGCTGATTATAGTCGCATATGGTTGATGAGGTTGATATTGAGTATTTTTCTATGGAAGTAAATGTACGCTGCTTAACAACCTTGCGATTGCTGAACAAGAAAACGACGCATTCATATTCCAATGCCGAGGTTAATAGAAAGTCGATCCTGAGAACTTTTTTGAAACATTCTAAATCCTGTAATTTTCTTCGTATTTTTGTTGAGCAAACGCGAGGTGTTATTATTCTTCGTTCACGATTAAGCTGACGTTTCGGCGGATTTCGCCTTCCTTAGAGCCGCTTCCTATGAGGTTTCCACTAAGTATGTCACGTAGAGACCAACCGCACAGAAATCACATGGAACTATAATGTATTTCTAAATCCTGTATCTGAAGAGAACAAAACCCAACATCTTGTCCATTATCTGACCACAGTTTTGTTACTCATTTCCACAAAATATATGAAATAGATTTCGTCTGTATTACACCCATCCATTCCATCTAACAACAGTGATCGATTGCAGCGAGTGCAACAATAATTACAAGGGTTTGGCGGGATTACCTATAGCCTTCACTAAGGAAACTAAAGTTTTGTTTTGCCAGTTTTTGCTTCACTGTAGCCTCACTCTGTACCCTTTCCGCTTTTTCTCTGTCACATCCACTATTGGCGTGATCAATCAGGTTGTAATGAAGCTTCCCGTTTATAATTCTGGAATAATTTGAAAAGACAAAAGTGGTCAGGAAACTAGAAATTAACTCAAAAAAGAATACTTTGTGACGAAAATGACGCGGATCCGTACTATAGATTTTTTATCCAAGCAAGCTTTACTTCTCACCACGCCCACTGCATATGTACTCTATGAGGTTGACCCTACTTTCTAACATGTGGTTGACAGAAAATCGATGTGTTTAAAGAAACGTTCGTCACGATATAAGTGTAGATTTCGTGTTTTCGTTTAAGATACAAAAATGTTTTAAATGGTCAGCGCATTATTACGGTTGGCTCCAAACTCCGAGAAAGGCGAAGTTCCCCGAAATGTTTGTCATTGTGAAATTAATGTTGTCTTAATAAGATAGTTTCAGTTTATTAACACCGCAGTGACCAACAGAGCGCTTGCATCTATAATGTTTCCCAATGATTGTCCTAAATATTTTACTATCGTTGCAGTTTGGTTGTTAAGCAGAAGTGTACCGCCACCATATGGCGGGCACACGTAGCGCAGTGGTTAGAGGTGTCCTGCAAGTTAGGACCAAATTTGTCTGGGAGGATAATACCAAGGGCTTGATATTTCGGTCAGGCACTGCAAGCCATGTCACAGGGTACATATGCACTCAGTCACGCTTCATGAAGTCAAATGCAAAATACACTTTATACCGGCACCGTAGATATCCTCTTCAGACGAAGACAAAAGTAAACAAAAAACAGATATAAGGATGCCTTTCCTTCTCTAAAACTGACTGTTTCCTTAATTTTCTTCGCTGCACCATCTCTTCTATTTCCATACCATTTCCTACCTTGCTGCTCACCTTCGTCTATGGTTTTTGCTTTTCCCGCTGCTATTACCTCTCTATTCATTTTTACATCTTTCTTTTACCGAAAACCCATATAGCAGCACATTTCGAAAAGGACAGATAGTTATCTACCTCCGATAGATACACATCTATTTATCTAACCCACACAAACTTCTAAAAGCGCGAGAAGCGAAGTGCTTAGCGATGCTTTGCAATATATTCCTGAACTAACCAAGCACTCCATCATTCCGTGGACCGCAAAATTATTATCAAACCTGTTTGACACCTCTTTCCGATCCAAAAAAGCCGATGACTCGCCTTGTCCAACACCTGGTTAAATCTATCCCAGGATTTTAGGGATAATCAATTCAACCAACGTTAAATAACCTTCATGAAGAGAGCAAAATCCTGAAGCATCAGCCGAAGCAATTCACAAATTAGAAAACTTTTGTGAATGATAGTCGTACGGCAGGGAACCGAATGGAAGAAATTCGAGAATCAGTATAATATGCGAGCATGGACCACATCAATATTCACACCACACAAGTTTTATTTCTTATTTGAAACGACCCGACTTTCACATCTACTTTGCGGATCACAACAAGATCGAGACAAGTTTCCAGTCTAGTACCAAGTTGCCGACCCCGGAGAGATGGGAGGCTGTGTGAGCCCATCGTGGAGCAGGGCAGCGTTTTCGTGGTAATCGGACATCACACGGACACTACAACTGGGCTACCTGTCTCCCTGATATTATTATTGTTATACACATGTATATATATATATATATATATATACCACGGATCTCCCTCACATGAGGGATCTCGGACTGGTTAGTCGCGAGGTTACGTGACGCGTCCCCAGGTGGCGGATTGAGGGTTAATCGCGGACTAAAGGCAACCTTTGCTTCCCTGAGACACAGGTGGATCCAGAGGATGGACTTCCTGTTTCTGCTGCACCGATTTGGCATATATTTTCCGTATTTGCTAGGCGTATTCATGAATGCGTGAGTGGGTGTGTTCTTGCTTATGCGGATTCTATTCTACGAGTCAATTCGGCCAAAAGCCTGCAATCAAGTGACAGGGAAGTATATGGGAGGCAGTTAGGAGTTGCCTCCAACAAATAAGCTCCATGTCAACTTTGGGAGAGCCTGGCAAGCTACCCGTGAGTATACCCAGCCCCCACGTTCAGAGCCCAACAAGCTCTACGTGAATATCAATATTCTAAACACAGTAAAAAAAAAAACAGGCCTCATTCCCTTGACCCTGAAAGAGCCCCCAATTTCGCAGTGTTGGGTAGGACGAGTACGGAGAGACTGCTAAAATCTCAGGGCAAATGGAAGCTGCCTGAACTACAAAGAACTATGGTGACGATCTGTACCTACAGTGCAAGTACACTAGCATCCGAGTCGTCGATAGAGGACTTGCTCATGCATGCAAGAAGGATAAGGCACAACGTCATCGGCCTGACCGAGACGAGATAACGCCACCCATTCAACGCCGTCTATGACACCGGGGAAGAACTGTTCCTCGGAACATGCGACAGTAGAGAAGCCGGCGGCAGGATGAAAGGTCACTCAGCGTTATCGAACGCGCAGTCGAAAAGACGACGCTAGGAGTATCCCGTTCCACACAAGTAAGGGCGGGATCCGAAGCTCCGATCTACGTCAACGATCAAAAATCAAAGATGCCGTTCTGTACGCCAAACAATCGACGATAAGGTGGGCCGGACACGTAATGTACATGAATGAAAACAGATGGACAAGAGCCGTTAGTGACTGGGTTCTTCGGGATATCAAACGTACTGTAGGAAGACCACCGACCCGATGGTCAGAGCACAAAGAGCCTTGAAGAAAGATATGATGATCGACAAGTCCCTAGAGCGAGCAGAACCCACTGGACTACTTTTGCGCGCAACAGGAAAAAATGGAAGATTTACTGGCGCCCACTCGAGTCACTCGACAATCAACAGGACTACAGGTGGTACAGGTAATATATATGTTCCAAACAACATTACACTTACCTTATTTATAACCATGTGGATATAAGCACGTGTGTACATTTTACAAGTGTAACAATCACAATCAGTCTCAATTGGTGTGAAATCATCAGCGAACGTCCTCTGATTGAGGTGTAGCAGTCCCCCACGTCGCACAAGTGCTGTGCCGAATCTGCAACAAAGCTATTTTCCTTCTCTAAAGTGGACACTGTCCTGTGTGCTCAATACAGTCAATTAACCTGGCTGTTCTGGTAGGGTACACGCAGTCGAACATATCTGCACCCAAAAGCGAGCAAATCACTAAATCTACTGGAAAGCCGACTCCCATAACATAACGGGGTAAATGTGGAGGTAGAGATTCGCAACAAGCGGCCACAATTTTCCAAAACTGCGACTTTTCTTCTCCACCCGATAGACCACCGATTGCAATACCGACCTGAAACTCGTAGTTTCACGTGGAAAATAGGTAGAACTTTCATTGTTTTAAAGATGAGCATTTACGAATTTTCAGAAAAAAATGACTTCATTACATTAATCACAGGTGTCCATGAGTCTTTTTTGAATGAAAGCTTCCACTTTCCAGTGCATAAGATAAAGGATAAAGCTCTCGTCGTTGATCAATCCCTGAAGGATGCGCCATGCATTCGATGCGTTAAGCATCGTTTGGAGGTGATCGAATGCATATCTTGCCCTTACAATGACTAGCGGTGGCCTGCCATTTTATCGAGCCAATGCTGCTATCCTCCTGGATAAGTCTGGTACTAAATTACCGATCCCGGAAGGATGGAAAGCTTGGTGGGCCAGGGACGTGGGAATCGATCCCGCGTGTATTGCAACTCGCCTCCGACCACGGCGCCACATGTGCCCATTCAGCATATAAGATATGAAATCAAGTTTTACAAAATTGTTTCAATTTACTTTTCGTAAATATTTCACAATGACCGGTCTATAAGTAGGTTCGTAAGATTTTTAGGAAATGGAAACACTTGGGAAAATAGGTTGAGATAGCACCGTTCATCCTAGACATCTTCGATTGCCATCAACACTACCTGTTCTTGCAGTCGAAATAGTAAAAATTTGTAGGAAATAAATTGTAACGCATTGAGTTAGATAATTAGATAAGGTGACGTCCAGTGAAATGAAATGCTACGTACAGCAAGACATATGGTACGACTCAAGTCATTTTAGGGATATTTGAGAGGTACTTCGTTGGTTTGCTTCGATTATTTCTTCTCTCTAGAACCTTGCTGGATTTCGCCTGACAGCAGCAACTCGTAATAAACATCTGACTCATTCGCAGGAGTTCCTGTTGACAATTATAATGACCTGTCACCCGTAGCTTGTCTCTTCGTTGATCGTCGAGTGACTTGATCGGGCTCCAGTAAACCTGTTTCTCACTACCACGTGCAAGAGTACCGCACTGGGTTCTGCTCGTTCTAGGGACTCAGTGAGCATCACATTTTTCTTCTAGGATCTTCGTGAGGAACTCTCACTATCGGGTCGGTGGTCTTCCTGGTGTGCTTTCACCATCCCGAAGAATCCGGTCACTAACGACTCCTGTCCATCGCTTGTCGTTCACACGCATTATGTGTCCAGGTCATCTTCCCTTCCGTGTGGCGTATATAACGGCTTCTTTGATTTCCGGTAGCTGACGTAGGTTGAAGCTATGAGTGATACTTCATTCAGCTCACGTAGCGACCAGGTTTCTGAGGCATACGTTAAAGCAGGTACACTGGTGGGGTCTAGAAGGTGAGAACGGAGTCTGATTTTCTTCCGACACACGAAACCTGATTTTGTGCAAAATCCCTCTTTCACGACTGTAACAACGCTAAAATAAGCATCAAAATCTAGACACTGGTAACATATACAACAAATTTCGTACACGCTTATCAGTATAATTCGTTTATTGTATGCTCATAAAAGCAAAACTCAGGGAACTTTCTATACGTAGTTTGTCTCGAGTAAGTTACACTAGGTTAAAGGTGAAGGATAACCAAATTCGTGAAACTTCTGACGTAAAAACTTAATCCCACGAAGCTACACGTTGATAAAATGTAATAATCAAAGTAAATGAGTTATGAAATGGCCACCTGCTCAGATACTATCAGTATAAACAAGCGAACCTTGGCTCGTTTTATCATCTCAGCAACACATTTCTCACGTAAAGCAATGTCCAGACCGCCCTGTACAATTGGAAATAGCGCTTGATCCGACCGCGTGTGCGCCTTCTCACAACGGTCAAGCCACCTATAGGCAGAACATCTTATTCTAAGATCAACGCTTTAAACTAATTTTTTACCTATTAAAAAATAAATTAGATAACTAAATAAAAAGTAAAGTAAAAGCAGTGAAGAGTAAGAGCAAAGTATAGTAAAGTAAAAGTAAAGTGAAATAACTAAATAAAAATAAGGTAAACTAAGCAACTAACTTTGAACTAAGTAATATTACCTTATGCTTCTTTGCATAGCTTCCTCAACAGTGCTTCCGGTTGTGAGCACATGGACGACATGGTCCAATTGCATCATTATATCGGCGCCTAGAGCCTATAATCTACCAGACTTTTACAATAAAAAAAGCTCCTCGTTACAACCCATACCTGTTGTATTTCGATGCTTATCTCTGGAGTCAGGGTCATTAACTCGCCAGTATGAGGGCTTTCGAAATTTACGCCATGTTCGTCAACAGACATGAGTTTACTCAGCGACACCATCTAAAATCAGTTCCCGTAAGAACATTACAGAAAGTACTGTCTGTACTGTTCTACTTGGAAGGACCTCGATGACTACATTCACATGTTGTGTGGATAGGAATACTTCCTCTATTTACTTTGTTGTCTTGTAAGTACCATACAAATTTAAGGAAGAACTGATCAACAAATACACACATTACGGGTAATAAAAATTCAGAAAAACTAGAATGCATTAGATCTACACTCTAACCGTACGATATTACCGTATTATAAACTCTTTATGGTTCATTTTTCAGTGGCTATATATGATTCAACAGAGTTCCAGCGCAAACATAATCTCCCCGTTATGGTTAAAACCGTTAGCAACAAAAAAATTCTTTCTGAAACAGTGAATGTATGAGTTCTCCTTTCATCTTTAGAATGTTTAGGTGTCGAACTACATGTCCAGCCAGGGCTTACCCCCATCTACTTGCATCGGCTAGAAGCAAACCTATTCCACTGCACATCTCTACAAACTTCCCCTAGATACATTCCCAAAAACAGTTTTAAAAGCATCATACCAAAACTGTTGTGTTGAGTGCCCCTCAAACGAGAAGAGCCCATTGAGTCTCCGATGGGTGAAAAATACGAGTGGAGACAGAATGACCGTTCGAGTTAATAACTGACGAGATCACAAGTATGTATGTGGGTGTTCTACACGATTTTGATTTTTTCAATGAGCTAACCATAAGCATGAATCAATGTTATAAAACAATAGACGAGTATTACATAAATAATAAAGAATACTGCAGGGATTTCGAAGCACATAAAATACTTTCTGCATGGAAAAGAAGTCCTCAATTGTTATGGATCTACGCTTTAGGGCTACCTATTTGCTTCGAAGATAATCATTTGAAGTACTAAAGTCACAGTTTTTGTGCCCATACAAGCACAAATATCAAGACACAATTTGTGACATATATTTTTTTACTTACTTGGATAGCTCGTATCTATCGGTTATGCGGGCTCCAGCAAAATTTCCATTCGTTCCCCTCTTGCGTAATAATCGTTCATGGTAGTGATATGTTTCGAACATGGTGACGTCCGTAAGATCCATTCCGTAATCCTACAATCGTTGCAGTCTGCGAATGCTGGTGGTTGATGTTCGCCACGAACACGTCCACTCATCATTTGGGTGATGTTGCAGGAGAACGCTTGCCTAATCTTGGAGTCAACTCCACTGTTTTACTCGTCCATGTTCTTCTTAATATGTGATCGGCCCATCTGTGTTTCCCTATTGATGTATATTCTACCGGATCCGGAAGATGAGATAGGCTTCAAAAACCTGAGCTGCGCACTTCGGCTGGCCGATGTGAATTCCCGTTAAAATTCAGAAGACATCATTCAAGCGCTCTGTGGGGTTGCGCAGATTTCTTGGTGTGGCTGAAGTATCACTTAATTTTTGCTGCATAACAGAGCGCTAGGAGGACTCCTGAATCGAAAGGATGAGCGCTGAGTTCTTAGTCCGTTAGTTGGTCGATGGCTTTCTTGAGTTCCTAATATGGCCTACGCTGCTTTCCTTCTTCTGTCTTATTACTCCTTCATGCTATTTTCTATGCCCGCTGAACATCTAACGTATACATACGAGGTGGTTTCTGTATTAAGAGAACCATCCAGTTCAATTTGTTCGTTGTAGCACCATTGGTACTTCATGAACTTGGTGTTTGTCCCACTCAAAATTAAGATTCGATAAGGATTTTCCATCAATAACTATGTCCTTCTCGTCCCAATCTCGACTGACTTTATTATCAGCAGCACATTGTGCAGTACGGCAGTAAACAGATTTGGCGACAATGTGATGCTTTGCCGAAACCCTTTTCCTATGGTTACGGTGAGGGGTCGATGAAAAAGTCGTATATTTGTGTTGCAGTTCAGATAACAATCAGCTAGTGTTCGTATAAGACGGGTCCACCCTTTGATCAACGAGTGCTGATAGGATACCACTCGTTTCGACGATGTCAAACGCTTGCTCGTAGTCGATAAAAGTAAGGACTAGGGGAAAATGGTACTGCCGACAGACTTCTACCACCCGTTATACGTTTGGATGTGCTTCACACAGCAGAATCCCTGTCGGAGTCCTGCTTGCTCAACAGGATGTCCTTCAGCCAAGGTCTTCGTTATGCGAATAATGAAAATCTTCCTGAGCAGATTGTAGAGTACACTCAACAAGCATATCGAATTGTACTTACGGAGATTTCCATCCTTCTTGTGCGCGGTGATCATGCGCGAGTTCCTCTACTAGAATTTTATCGCTGTGGAGGTAAGATGTATGTGGGTTGCAAGAAATGCACATAATTTGTGGCTTCCAACTCTGAAGAAATCGGCGGTTATATTAACGTGTCCTGGAGCTGTGCCTCTCTTATCGTTTTATATCGCAAGTCGAACTTGAGAGTGTAGAATTCTGAACGGTTTTTCATTAGCAGGGATTTCGCGATCCGAGGTGGAAATTGTGGAACGGAAGAGAATGGTACAGAACCTTTCCACTATCAATTCCATATGGCGGGATGTAATGATAGTCCCATCCCCAATCGTCAAGGCGGATAGCGGAATATTATGTTCGCAAAGACCCCAACGGCACTTCTTTAGAGTGGATAACTTTCGACCCGCTTCCAGCAAATTTTTCGGACTATACCGACGGAAATCCTCATACAACAATATTTTACCACTGGAATTTTCATCAGCCGTGTTAGCTCTGTTGCAGTCTTTCAATCTTCAAGGGATCAATCTTCAGTGTCCTTCTCATTTCGAGCAGCACCTTAGTGGTAATGAAGATACGGTCCCAACCTCTCGGTTGAGGAATTGAAGCGAATTCGGCACGAGTTTTAAGTCCTTCGAAAAGCAACATGTTGTCCTCACCTGGGTTTTCATTTATCAGCCAGTCATATGTGGTCAGGACTTCATTGAGAACATTCTCGCCATTACCTGTACAACCTGTAGTCCCGCTGGTCATCAAGTGACTAGTGCGTGCGCCAGTAAATCTTCCATTTTTCCCTGTCGCGTGCAAGAGTAGCCCGGTGGGTTCTGCTCGCTCTAAGGACTCATCGAGCATCATATCTTTCTTCAAGGCTCTTTGTGAAGAACTCTGACCATCGAGTCGGTGGTCCTCCTGCAGTACGTTTGACATCCCGAAGAACCCAGTCACTAACGGCTCTTGTCCATCTGTTTTCATTCATGTACATTACGTGTCCGGCCCACCTTATCGTCGATTGTTTGGCGTACAGAACGGCTTCTTTGATTTTTGATCGTTGACGTAGATCGGAGCTTCGGATCCCATCTCTTCCTTGTGTGGAACGGGATACTCCTAGCATCGTCCTTTCGACTGCACGTTCTGAGTGACCTTTCATACTGCTTATGCAGTGACAAGGTTTCTGAAGCATGCGTTAGGGCAGGAAATACCGTTGAGACGAAAAGGTCAAGGAGTCGGGTGTTCTTTGTTCTCCTCACTACTTCTTCGATGCTCTTGAAACCCCCCAGTCCGCCCGTTTCCTTCTCCTCAGTTCTGGAGCTAAGTCGTTCATCTTATTGATTTCCCGACCTAGATAGATATAACTGGAACATTCGGAGATATTCATTCCGTTGAGCGTAAATGGGACATGCGAAACCAATCCGTTCTTCATAAACATCGTTTTTGTGAGATTTAGACGAAGACCAGTCTTTCCACAGGCTTTATCAAAGTCGGCAAGTGTACGTTCCGCCTGGCTAATGTTTGGTGTTATAAGGACCATGTCGTCAGCAAAGCGAAGATGGTGAAACTGCCCAGCATCGATTTTCACTCCCATATTATTCCATTCCAATGTTCGCATAACGTTCTGCAGGGTGGCGGTAAATAATTTTGGTGAGATGGTATCGCCTTGCCTAACCCCTCTTTTGACATCAATGATAATATCGTTGTAGAATGGTGATATTTTGGTTGTGAAATTTTGGTACAGCTCACGAAGAATCTTTATTTACTGAGCAAGGACTCCCTGACTATCAAGGGCTTCCATGACTGCTTCTGTCTCAATTGAGTCAAAGGCCTTCTTTAAATCGATGAAAGTGAGGCAGAGCGGCCTTTTGTACTCTTGCGACACTTCAATGAGCTTTGTTATGGTGACGATGTATTCCATCGTACTAATTCCTTTTCGAAACCCTGCTTGCTCACGCGGCTGTCCTTCGTCCACTGTTCTGTCAATCCTGTTTAGGATGACTCGAATGAAAATATTTTGAAGACGACAGACAGCAAGCAGATTGGGCGATAGTTGCTGATATCGTGTAGGTCACCTTTCTTGGACAATAACACGGTCTTGCTGGTCTTCCACTGAGTAGGGACCTTGCATTCAGACAGGTAACGTGTGAAGAGCCTAGCCAGTGTGTTCACGAGGACTGGCGGGCGTTTCTTAAGTTGTTTTGATCTTATCCTGTCCGGACCTGGCGCTGTTCGATTTCTCACCGACGGAATGGCCTGTCGGATTTCGGAGGGGAGAGCCGGTGGTACAACATATCCATCCTCTTTCATATAATGGAAGGTGGACGTGGCTATCGAAGAGATCAGTAATATTCGTAAATGATTTTCTCCATTGTCTTTCTGGACGATGTAACTGTTCCGTCTGGGCGTCGGCGTGCAATCATCTTGGACTTGTAATTGGCGAAGCTTCGGTGGGCTTTGCGAATGCTTTTCCCATCCTCTGCAGCTTCGACCATCACTGCTGCTCTTCTCTCTCTAAGATCTTCTTTTATCGCCTCTCTGCATTGTTTTGCAACCTCGGACTTTAGTTCGCGGTTGCCTGCAGCTCGTGCGATTCCACGCTGGCGTATCAGCTCGAGTGTTTCTAAATACAAACGTTTATTGGTGACTTTTGAACTCTCAGCTTTCATAGCGCTAACGTGAAGATGTTGAATGAGCAGATCATATTCTTCGTCGATGTTATCGACAACGGCATCTTCCCAACAGCCGACTAATGAATTGAATATGTCCCAGTTTGCGGTGGTTCTGGGATTTCGGTTTTGCAACTTAGCGGCTTTTTCTTCTTTCTGCGAGAAATAGGATCTTGTAAGGAGCCGGTGGTCTGATCCCGTATAGAATTTTGGGACAACAGCGACATCGGTTAGGCAAAACCTTCTATTTACTATGATATGGTCTATTTCGTTATGGTACTCTCCATTTGGGAGACTTCCACGTCCAGCGTTGAGGGTGGGGCTTCTGGAATTGCGAGTTACCACGAATTGTCTTGGTCGCCATGATAAACTCAGATAGCCGCTGACCCTGTTTGTTCCATTTGAATCCGTGGGTCCCAATGTGACGTTCTTCAGACATTCTTCTTGGTCCAATCTCGGCGTTGAAATCTCCAATGATGACCTTGAAGAATGTATAGTCTTCTCTGTAGAAGTTCTCCAAGTCCATATAGAACGCTTCGACTTCTTCTTTGCCATAGTTTGATGTCGGCGCGTAAACGACGAAGACTGTCAAACCCGTTATTGATCTACATCTTTTTAATCGTAAACATCCTATTCGGGTTGTAAGCTATTCTAATGAATCGATGTTCATGGACAAACTCGTGTTGACGAGAACGCTGAAGCCGCCGACTTCTCTACTCTCGCATGTTCCGAGGAACAGTTCTTCTCCGGCATCATAGGCTGCGTTGAATGGGTAGCGTCGTCTCGTCTCGGCCAGGCCGATGACGTCGTGTCGTACCTTATCTTTCTAGCTTGCATGACCAAGTCTTTTATTGAGGACTCGGATGCAAGTGTACGTGCATTGTAGATACAGATCATCACCTTCGTTCTTCGTGATCCAGGCAGCTTCCACTGATCCTGAGATTTTAGCAGCCTTTCCGTACTCGTTCTACCCAACGCTGCCGAATTGGGGGCTCTTTCGGGGTCAGGGGAATGAGGCCCGTTTTTTTAAACTGTGTTTAGCATTTTTGATATCCACGTATAGCTTGCTGCGCTCTGAAGGTGGAGGCTGGGTATACTCACGGGTAGCTTGCCAAGCTCTCCCAAAGTTGACGTGGAGCTCATTTGTTGGAGGCGACCCCTAACCGCCCCCCATATACTTCCTTGTCACTTGATTTCAAGCTTTGACCGAATTGACTCGTAGAATACAACCCGCATAAGCAAGAACGCACCCACACACGCATGCATGAATACGCCTAGCAAATACAGAAAATATATGCCAAATCGGCGCAGCAGAAACAGGAAGTTCATCCCATGGATCCACCGGTGTCTCAAGGAAGCAAAGGTTGCTTTTAGCCCGCGATTAACCCTCTATTCGCCACCTGGGAACGCGCCACGTAGCCTCGCGACTAACCAGCTCGAGGTCCCTCATGTGAGGGAGATCTATGAATCCGCGTCATGCATGACTTAATTCGTTTTCCTTGGACGATGAAAGAAGCTCGTGCTTAGGTTACGGGTGACTCGAATTTTCGCATGGAGGCGATGGTCAGATCCAGTGCAGAATCCATATACCACTGAGGTATCAAAGAGGCATTTCTGTTCGGGAGGAAATGATCGATCTCCAGATGAGTCGTGCCGTTAGTGGACTACCATGTCCATCGGCGACCGTCTCTTTTCTCGAAAAATGAATTCCCATGGAACAGACGTACTGCGGACCAGAGTCCTACAAGACGCTTTCTATTCCCATTTCGTTACCCTATTCTGAATTCACCTATCCCGCATCCATTTTCCCTGGTTGTTCCTAAACTGTCGTTGAAATTTCCAACAACGAATTTATTATAAAAACTCATCGTTGTGGATTACTTCCTCCAACTGTTTGTACAACGCGTCAAGTTCGAGGTCATCAGCTGAACAAGTTGATGACTAACAATTTACGATGTTAACTTTTTTGTGCAGCGCAAGTTGGAGATGAAGAATGGCCAACATTTCGTAAACCGTTGGAAGGATTCGCAACATGTACTAAATGCGCTAAACTTCCACTAGATTGAGTAGTCACTAATCAAACATGGGGTTTGTCATACACACCTTTTACTAACGCTTACACGACGGCGTGATCTCTACAAGCGTCATTTGTTAGCAAACACAGCGGCCCGCGTGACTTCTACAGAGGTTATTTTACTTTTAGTGCTTTATTATAGCACATAGAACTCTTTTTCAAAATCGCAAATGCATGAGTCATATCGAGCGCATGTAGCGCAGTGATTAGGGGTACTTTGCAATACAACACACATGGGTTCGATCTCCCGCCCCAGGTTCACTAAGCCTTCCAGCCTTCAATCTGTTCGTGGTCTGCAAAATGGCACCGGACTTGCCTGAGATGATACCAGAACTAATTATACACATCGGTAGCCCAACATGAGTCACTGCAAAGGCCAGATATTCATTCAATCGATTTAACGATTTTTGATGAAGACGAATGCATGACGTATCCTCAGAGATTGATCAACGCCGAGAGCTTTATCCTCTATTTCTTAATCCTTTACGAATTATATCGTTCATGTGAAAATAGTAGTTGACTCTAAATGATAAAGCTCTAGGCGTTGATCAATCCCTGAAGGATATACCATGCATTCGAATTCATTATGCATCGTTGGAGGTGATTGAATGCATATCTCACTCTTACTCGCGGAGGCCTTCTGATGTATAGAGGCAGTGCTGCTATCCTCCTAGACAGGTCTGGTACCAATTTGCCGACTCCGGAGGGATGGAAAGATTGCTAAGCATGGAAATCAGAATCAATCCCATGTGGATTATAGACAGCTTCTGACCACTGGGCTAAGCGTGTCATACGAATAAGTAAGCAGACGGTGCAGGTAACAAGACTCAATATGAAGTGAACAACTAAATTTTTTATCTTTGTAGCGTACTGAGGAGGTTATCACCTGAAATCCTCCAGAATCTGTAAGAATTGATCGAGGCCAATTGATCATCTTGTGAACTCCTCCAGCCTTTCTTACTCTTTCATAACCTGGTCGATGCCCAAGATGGTAAGTGTTACATAGTAAAATGCGACAATCCATTTCCATCAGCTGCTCAGGCAAGATACCCTGAAGAAAGTGAAGCTTCTAAACTTCCATAGAATAACCAAGAAGCAAAATAGCTATACCTTCATTGTACCTTGAGTTCCAACAGGCATAAACACAGGGGTTTCGACAACACTATGAGGTAATGTCAAAACACCGTGTCGAGCTCTTCCAGCCGCTTTCAGGACCTTGAACGTCATTTTACACTCGGGATCGGTCGCCATCAATTCCTGGCTCCACTAATATTTCATTGAAGTACGGCTATGTCCCAGATCTAGTTCCTGTACTGCAAAATACGTTCAACATTACCTTTTCCTGAACTTATGAAACTCTTAGTGAATTGTCAGGTCATATTCATAGGACCACACAATGTCATAAGTATGACAGTCTTCAAGTTTTAGGAATACTGTCGAAGTACATCGTAACGAAGATGGCTACTACTTACTCCAAACGAATACTACCTTTAACGCACCTCTTCTACTATTTTCGGCTACCTGTTCACAAGTCGATTCTCCCTGGAATCGTGAGATAGCTGGGCCGGAGAGTTCCGAATTGGTTTCAGTGGTTACAGTGGTTTCTTCTCGGGCAAGGCCGGTACCAATCTCCCGACCTCAAGAGAACGACGGGATTCGTGAGCCTAGGACAGGATCGAGCCAACACCGTGCTCGTGAAGATCGGTACCACAAACACTGTGGTATCCACCCCCAAATCACTACCTACCTCTTCACTAGGACAAACGATAGAACTTTCGCCGTTAATCAAACAACAATGGTATCAATCTGCCGACGCCGGAAGGATGGAGGGCTTGGTGAGCTTGGGGCGCGGAAATCGATTTTGCGTGTATAGCAGGGCGCCTCTGATCACTGCACCACACAAGTCCTATTCCACCAAAGTCGTGGCCAATCATTGAGTTCATCAACAGTAGATTTCTTGCAGAATAAGACAGTCAAAATTTGTACGCAATCTATCAATCATTAGTGCATGTTTATTATAACGAGAGTGAGAGGATTTCTAGGAAAAAAAGAAACTACTAAGGCGCAGAAATTTGCTCAAAGACTGACATCGGGTAACAAGGACATTAACATGAAATGAATCCATTAGATGACTTAGATTGTCTAAAATCATTAGGAAACAAATCTATCAACTTATGCAACATGTACAAATTGGGTTTGTATTATTTTCTGTCTACAATTTCAAGTGTATATTCTGTTATACATTGGCACACTAAACGATTAAATGAATGGAACTGTTACGGCAAAAAGCTAGTGGTCGCTTTTAGTGAGTCGGAAAAGTAATGCCATACTAACTATTATCGTTTACCACAGCAAACCTAACACAATTACCATGACCATGAGCACAATCCTCGCATAGCAAAAGCTCATAGGTGTTTTGTTCAATCTTTAGACGGATCCAACGCAGTATCCGGATCGCATACTTCCAATATAGCTCTTCCTTCAACTTCCGACATTGATAACTGCTTCAATACCTTTAAAGAAGCACAAATTCACGTGCATTCAAAAATTTTGTTGCAAAAAACATATTTGTATCTATCCCGAAACCATCGAAGTGAGTGCTTTGCATGTCGATGTCGAACTTAATAAAAATTAAATCCGCATACCTGGGAGGCTTGATTTACCGGAAACACTCTGTAGTCAGGAGCTTCGATTTGACCCCCAGCAATAAGGTGCACCAAATTCTTCAGCTGCTCCATACTGCCCCTGTAATGATACAGTGTCTCTTTGTGAAAATTCAATTACAGGGTAAAGAATAACGCTCATAGTTTTGGCCAACTTCAACAAAACGCGTTGCAAACATGTTCCATTTCCAACATTACTGAAGCGGCGAGAATTTACTTCGTACAACTAACTTGGGAAAGCCAACCAACAGAGCAGTAAGCGTTCTACTTTGTGGCCAGCTCTGCTAAGTCCGGTTCATCGACCGTGAACCTCAGCTGCGCTGTGCATAGGTAGAGTCCTCATACAATGTGCTGTATCCCAATACTCCCTTTCTCAGCAACAGAAAAGTGATCACGACTCCAAAAACGAATTGTAAAAAATAGGCATACCTTGTTACACCCATAATCGCAAGCCTATTTTTGGCAACCAATTTGATAGGAAGCTGAACATCCAATCCCGAGAGCCCACCAACGAAGAGCACACCTCCCTTAATATACAATGGTTATGAGAAAATACGTAGAAGTAGAATGGATGAATAACAGAAGTAAATAAAAAGTAGAACTCACTTCAGCTAAACACTTGAGAGAACGAGTGACTGTTCTTGGCGATGTTACGAAATCGAACACAACATTCACTCCAGTTCGTGCAACATCTTTCGTACGCATGATCAAGTACTCCTCGAATTCTGAAACCCAAGTGAATGGAATAAGAAATGTAAAATTTACGAAGGAACGACAACATCAAAAGCGGTTAATTTCACCTTAAATTAAACTTCGTAAGCATACAGAAACATAGTTGTACAAATCCTTCAAACGTATAGTTCTGCTATAGGGTTGTACTGGGATGACCCTGTTTCCAAAGGAACTACTTTCATGGAAACCCTAACCTAGTAGAACCTAGAGTTTGTTTCAACACGTTGTCCAATTTTTACCAATGAAAACAACAGCAATCTTCTTATTTGCAGTGATTCCACACCAACCATTAACCCTTTCAAAATCTTGGTTGACACACGCACTGGGTTGACCAACCCTCCAAACCACCCGGGGTAGTGAAATTGACAAAAAGTTTTTCTGGGATCAGCTAGTTTCCTCCCGCACAAAAGATGGCAACTACCTGAGACTTAGAAACACTTCAACAAGACTAACGCAGACTTCTACGGAGAATCGACTCGAAAAGTATTCAACGACATTAGTAAGGAAAATGAATATCACTACAAACAGCAACCGAACCAGCGCACCAGTTCGAGGAAGTACTTGGAGTATGGATGCTGGGTAACGAACTGATTACAAGTACTCGGATCCGTACAACTGAGGTTGGTCGTTTAACAAAAAATTGTACTTTCCATCGCGTGTTCGCCATGTGAAATCCAGATGATCTTTCCTTACATTTCCTTTACCCTCATATAGCTTGATTACCTTCAAAATAATTTACCAAAGTTCCTAAAGTCGAAACCAATTATGTACGTAGCAAAACCCATGCTGATGCTTCTCAAGGTTACGTATGCTAAATGGAGGGAGGAGGGAAAGTAGTAGCCTGGCTCGGTCTATCGGTAGGGAACTGCGAGGCACTGTAAAGACTAGATATGCATTCAGTGACCTCCGACGTTGTTTAATGAGTCCTAATGCATAGCGCATCACTCAGGAATTGATCAACGACGAGAGCTTTATCCCTTTTATCCTTATCTTAATGTGTAAGGAAAAGTTAATTTTCTAAGTTATACGCCTGATTTGCATCAGAAGACAGTTGTGACTTTTTGATTATCAGCAGAGAAATCCATTTATTACAACATCCTCAGTTTTGGCGAAACGACCACAACAGAGAATGTGAAGAACATTGTAAAATCCCACAGAAACTGCAGCGGAGAGCAAACCTCTGCCAATCACACGGCCGAAAAAAACACCTTTAGGGAATTCGTCTCACTCATGAAATCAGATCTACTTCTAATATCTCACATATCTCTAACTATATATCTAACATATGTCTCTAACAATTCAAATCTGGTAAGGATAGTGCTTGCCTGAATCATCCCAGTGGACAACAAAATCGGCACCGTTTCTTTCGGCCAAACATAGTCTTTCCTCCTTTGCATCAGCAACCATTAGACGGATTTTCATAAAAATGTAAACAATTAAAAGGCACTAGTTTTGAAGCCTCATTAAGAAAACAAAAAGTGTCCATTCTTTTGATTAAAGCACATAGTTCAGTGTTATATTGTTTGCCTGTCCATCCCATGCCTTCATGTTAGAAGTTTTATTGATAGCTTAGAGTTCATTGCCTGACTTCGAAAGCGTGGCATAACCTCTAATCTTTAGCCACAGTCGCCGTGAATATTTTTACTCTTTTCGCCAACAACAATCCCTCTGGTATTATCAGTAAACTCGTCCAAAAAACAGTTCTCCATACTAATGGAGTAGAGAATAATTTTTCTGGATCGACGTCTAACACAGCATTTGCTAAAAACGCTCGAGTGAATAAAAAATGCAATAAAACCTGCATAAAACATTCTGGATAAAAAAACACTATGTGGTAAAAAAGGGAAATGAATGCATATCAATGTTGGACAACCGGACTCCATATGAGTGGAAATCAATTCACGTTTGACCAAAAGTATTAATTTGCATATAAAAAGCCGTTATATAAAGAATATAATATTATATAAAAAAAAGCCGTTATAATAAAAAATTAGAAGGCACATTCCCAAAAACCATTACGAGCAACCACGTCATGACTTATAAATTTACATGGTATGACTCCACTTTGACTGATGGTCATGTATCTACATCTGTATCGGTAGAGCTTCTCATTATATTCTTAATGGCACTGTCAACTTAACAAGCAGTAGAAAGTACTTAAAAGAAGGTCAGGTTGAAAAGGAAAAAACCACAAACTTGTCATTGTGGGAAACGAGAAAGTGTTTAGCAAGTTTAAGCAACCACAGCCCAAGTCCACCCGCGCCGACGATCAAAAGATTACAAAATCCTTTCGACTGCGAGAAGGCCTCCACGATAGGACGCGCCTACAATTCGATTTAAACATTCCGACGTTGATTCTTTAACACAGTAAATAGGACACTACAAAAAAGACCTGTAAAACAGCACTGAGAGCCCAAGTTGCACCGGCTGGTAGAATCGATGCGACATGCATAGACAACGAATCCGGTATCTTCACTAGAAACTGGAGAGATGGTACAGCAACAAAGTCAGCATATCCATGACTGCACATTTCGTCAGTAGGCCAAACAATCACCTGTCAAACAGCTCTGTTAGAACGTATAGAATTTTTACGCACCCGTCAAAAAGTCTCATTGCCAGGTTGAAAACTCAACGTTCAAAATACATCGAAGCTGATCTCATGCCCTCAAATACAGCTCATATCAGCAAAAGGTCCCTATCACAAAACTGAGAACCACGAGACCTTCAATCTACTTTTTAAAATCCGTTTACTTATATTCATGAGACTCCTTATAATCATTGTATCACAAACTTTAAGCCTCATTCTGTTACGCTCGAAAAGTTTCATAGATCATTATGGACTGAATAAGTATTATAAAGAAATTATTACTACAAAGTCTACATAGAATTTTATATATTCGATAAAGTTCTTTGCGAAAATGTTTAAAAACTAAGAGTTCTGGCACAAAAAAATTATGAAAACTATAAAGACCTTGTCACCAATCTTCAGATCATAATCGTCAGGTGTACTTTCGGCACCGAACGACTCCACCACACCAGAAACCTCATATCCTGCATAGTTATAATTAAGGAGGACACAATAGTGTTCCTGAGAAAGTGTATCAAAATAAAAATATTAGGTTGCTGATGGCAGCGTTGGGTAAAAAACTAGCTGAGAGAAACGCAAAGCGATGGAGCCCCGGAAAAGGTAACCGTGGTTCGATCTGGTCCGGGGTCCAAGTTTTGCGAATATCTTAGCATCGCTGTGGTTAAAAACATTAAGTTTCTCACAAATTAATGTCCGACTTCCAGTTTTCACTTCCTACGGTTTAGCAATAGTTTTCTTTTTTCGAAAGCTGTACTATAATAAACCACTGCAAAGCTTATTTTATACCCTTTCGCGCCCTATAACGGAATTATGATAGTGTTTTTGACAAGTTTTAAAGCTTAGAATTTCAGATATCGAAACAGGAATTTCAATAACTCTACCTCAACAAGTTCTAGCTCAGACGTAGTGCAGTCAAACGGCTAGAAACAATAAGGTATGGGGTGAAAGAAATGTTAACGAAGCAGAGTGAAATGTTGGTTTGGAAACCTTCATCGACATGAATTCGAACTTGAACAAGAGGCATGTCGAGGACATGCTTCTACTGTTTCTGGCAATGAACCGAAGCCGTTGGTGGAAGCAAATACGTGCAAAGCTGCAGAAGAACCTGGTATAAGCATCACAGTTGTTTAGAAAAATCTAAAGAAAATCAGAGAACTGAAGCACCTCGACAAACGGATACCGCAAAAGTTAAATAACAAGAGGTGAAATCATCGTTCTAGACATCCTCGACGTTCCTTCTGCACAACCAGAATGACATGTTTCTCGGCCACATTGTGACGTGGAACGATAAAGTACGAAACCGGAGCGAATCGGTTAAGTTGCTGAACAGCGATGAAGTAAGCAGCGCTTTTCAAAACCGAAACCGCACGAGAAAAACTGTCATGGTGAGCGTAGAGGTCCAGAGTTAGTTTAATCTATAACAAATTCTTGGATTCGTGCAAACGATTGCGATGAAGAATCACAATCGATATATTGATAAAAAAAAAACTTCAACGATTCTGGGTTGTGTACCTCTCCCCCTTTGGTTAGCAGAAAGGAAGCACTTCATTCTTTTCTTCAGAACATTCGCCACGACAACGCGCAGGCACATGTCGCACTCCGGAAGCTGTAAAGATTAAACGAGCTGGGTTAGGAAAGGTTGCCTCTTCCACTGCACTCGTCAGAATTCTCGCCTACCAACTACCACTTTTTCACGCTTTTTTAACTTCCAACACCAGAAATATTTCACCAATTAAGTGGTTGCCGAAACTGTAGTCAATGATTTCATTGCATCCAGAAGTCCAGAATTTTAAGCATTTAGCGTAAATAAACTTGTTTCTCGGTAATAAAAATGTGTGAATTTCAATGGCATTTCTTTCGATTAGTAAAGTTTATTTCAAGTTGAGATGTGCCACTCTGAAAAGACAGGTTGGAATCGGACCTTAATTTATCGTGAAAAGTAGAATGCAGTAACGCCTCAATAATCATGAAAGAATATCTAGCTTAGCAAGGTCCATCACGTAAAGAAATAAAGCGATCTGTTTCCATATCAGGTTTTCACTTGTAAAGAGGTCCATCATTCAAAAACTATAATTTGGACCTGAATACTACATGCTAGTCAAAAGAAACATGGAAAATTATAGATAAATATACTTGGTATGTTTGAAATTAGGAAGTCACTTTAGAGAAAAAGCAAATGAACTAAGTACCAAAAGGGTTGGTAAACAACCGAAAACAAACTGCTTAGACGAAAACAACTGGAAAACCTAGAAGTTCTTGAGTAGAGAAATTATGACGTGGCGCCATTCAATTTCTATCTAATGTATTCTTTGTTCTTTCCTCTACTTTATAATTTAATGAGAAAACTAAACTTTGGTAGGATATCAACAAATTGGAGTTACTGCCAAATAAATTTAACTATAATGATGTGAGATATTTGCAAAACTCTGAACCGTAAATGGCTGCGGGGGAGGTCGAACAAGCTATTACCCTTTCAGTAGGCTAACGCGTTCACCACCACACCGTGTGGGTCCTTGGTTTCGCTTGGCTCCTAACTAAATTTTTAAAAAATGGGCCAAAAGGAGGTCTAATATTGGAACACCTTAATAAAAGAAGTTATGATGGAGTAGTTATCAATGCTTGGTAAGTAGGCAAACCTGGAAATAAGCTGGTGTCCTTAATGCCGTTAGTGATCCTTGCCTGCTTTGTGTTAGTTACTTCACGGTCTGTCAGACAAACCCCAGCATAACACACCTAGAATCGCTTCGTACTTGAAAATCTATCAAGTCAGCGAACCTAAAATTCAATTACTTCTGCGGAATGTCCTCATACTGACCTTTACTCTTGCTCCTTTTGGTGGTACATCCGGAATTGGTTCTTCATCGAAAAACTTCACTTCTTTAAGATCCTTTGGAGAGCCAAGAGATATGCGTCTGTTCCTTGTTACTGACATATCTTAACATGAGCCATGTAATCCATATTTTTATTCCCACATTTCGCGCGCTTTTATTTAGAACGGCCAGTCAGCTGTTGAATGATACCTTCGAACTGATCCCCACTTTAAACCTAGCACATTTATATTGAACGACTATGAAATATAGCATCACAAGAGCCAATCGATAGAAACGAAGTTCCGATCAACAATTAGTCCAGAAAAAGAGGATTTAGCTAAGACATGATTCGATACGAAGGCGTAAACATCAGATCGAGAATACGAAAAACTGTTGATCATCGACTTGGATCATGGGCTCTAATGAAAACGAAGACGTCGCAAAGTTAGCCGAATAAAGATCGTATATCAACCTCGTATAAACTTATAGGAGAAAAAATAGATATCGATTAGTCATGCTAAGGTTAAAGGGAAGTCGGTTTAGAAACAAAAATAGAGTTTTGATCAATAGTTCGTCTAGAGAAACGAGGCTTTAGCCACGCGCACGAAGGCTAGTTCGAGTCTCCACGAGCAGATCGATGAAAATGCAAAAAAGTCACGTAAAACAGCTTTAAAGCGCCTGAAAAGTGTGCAATGTGGAGCACTGAATGTTTTTCCTATGGAACGATTTGGAAACTTCTAAATCCTGTTCGGCAAGGTTGTGTTATAAACTCCAAGCACCTAAGATAGCAAGCAGTAAACACTACTACGCACTAAGGTCTAGGTGCCCTTAACAGATATTATGAACTACTTAATGTAGTTAAGGTACTAATTAAGGTGCTTAAGGTCCCCATTACTACCTATCCAATTCATAACAGATTATTATGCTAATCATTATGTAGATAAGGTTGTCCAGGTAATTATAATCGCTCGCAAACAGAAAACTGAACAAAAATGTCACCAAAGCACCTCTGACAGGAAACATAAAACTAGTCATCCAGGCAAAACAAGCAGAGCCGAATGGGCCAACAGCGGTCATGCGCCGTCCGACACGCGATCTGCGCTAGCGTAAGCTCAGCTCGGCCGTTCCACTGGGCACACGAAAGCGGGCGCGACGAACATGCGCCACTCGCTAGTGACGGGGTGGGGCTACTGTGGCATCTCGCATAGAGCCTCGATTTCGAAATCACGTGCCATCTTGCTTACTCCCACCTGTGTTACTAGTTGCCCAGATTTGCCCACCATTTGTCCTTGATGCGAGCAAAAGATGGAAGCGTGTGGCGCAGTGGTCAGAGGCGCCATGCAATACACACAGTATGGATTCCCGCTCCCCTGGTCCACCAAGGCTTCTATCGCTCCGGGTACGACAAATCGGTACCAGATCTGTCTGGGAGGATAACGGCACTAGCTCGATACATCGGTGGGCCATCGCAAGTCATTGTGAAGGCCAGATGATATCCATTTAATAACCTCCAAACTGTAATTAAGTCGAATGCATCGCGCATACCTGAGAGATTGATCAACGCCGAGAGCTTTGTCATTAGCTTTAGCGCGCAAGCGTGGTCCAGTGGGTTCTCCTCGCCCTCGGAATTCGTTGAGCACCAATTGTCGGGTCGGTAACTCAAAAGACCGACTTTCTATGAACCGCGGCATAGACAGTTGATATATTTATCTATATGATCGTATAAACTAATCTTCTTTAGCTGATGCGAGGTTGGTATAGGTTTTCGTTGTCGTTGTCGTTGTTGTTGGCGTTGTTGGTCGATGGCTGACATTTCGGCGATTTCGCCTTCCTCAGAGGCTGGACGTATTGTGTGTAAGAATACTTTAATTATTCGGTGGAAAAAAGCTAAAGTATTCATGAAGATCGAACTTTTAAACAGATGCCATATTGAACAGAAAGGCTACTCACTGTGATGTTACGAGCGAGACGTTGTTCACGTGGAGTCGCGAGCGAGACACACCCAGGGGTCAAAATATCATTTTGAAATAGGGCGCCAAGTCACGTGTGATAGTGAGGCATCCGTCTTTCCGGTTCATCTTTGGATTTTTGAAATTTATCCAAAACGCCTCAAGAGTCTCGAGCGCTGATGTTTTCGATTCCTGCACTAGGATCCGCGCAGTCACTTCAGAATAATCGCCGTTGTGCTTTTGTGCCCCATACGTACCTAGAGGAGTGCTTTGACGAATTTTAATTTTCCCATCTAGATGTTCTTTTATGCGGACACAAAGCGGTCTACTCGTTCCCCCAATATATTCCTCACCGCATGCGTTACATGAGATTAAGTATATTGTAACTGAACTCACGCTATCCCCGTCTCTCCCGTTGGGGCAGATCATACAGTTTTCTGAGCTGCACAAACGATCATAGAGACGGTTGCGAACTGACGGCTTAGGGTATTGGGTGGGATGTCAATAATCGCTACATAGGGATTGGTTTAGAAATGGGTTGACTAGGTGCAAAACTCGGACCCAGTTCTAACAAGGAACGCACATTTTTCGGAGGCGTTATACCTTCTAGCACAGTAACCTTGGATGTTCTTGGTGCGCCGTCTATTTCAGGGTTTTTACTTGCAACTCAACCCGCGGTGGTCCTATGATTTAAGCTTTTTGAGCGGCGTGATGAATCCTCAAACTTTTTTCTTGGGCAGAATCACGTGTAGTTTACATGAATTTCAAGATCAGCTACGTTACAGGGTTAGGCTAGAAAGGTTAGGTAAAGCAGTACCAAGGAGGGAGCTACCACCAATACTCTTTCTCCGAACTTTCTTTAAACAAGAGCTACCAAATAGCGATATTGACCCTACATTTCGTTTATTTTCGGACGAAATTCTCCGCATAATTAATGACTACCAAAAACGAAAAATAAACTCCAACCTCACACACCAACAAATGTGGTATGCACTAGGTTAGAGAGCTTTTGAATTCAAAATCTGTTAGGCTTTCTATTAGTGATAAAGGCGGAGAATTGGTAGTTATTCCTAGTCAGTTGGATATTAGGATAACAGAGGAGCACCTCAATGATGTTTCTCTTTATTGAACATCCTCTGAAAAGTAATACAGAAACCAATACCAAAAATTAAATCAAGAATGGGTCAGCACGGCAAAGGCCACGGGTTTAGAGCCTTCAGTTATTTCTCGACTTAAGAACGAACACCCGATTTGCCCTGTCCTTTACTTGCTTATTAAAACACATAAGCTTACTTCAACTGATGATATTACGTCAACGAACCCACCATCATATAAAGTTAGACCTATCACCAGTTGTATAGGCGGGCCAACGGATAGAATAACGTGGTTCCTAAACCTTATCCTAACCCAGCTGCTAAAATTCATTCCAACCCATCTGCCTAACACCAAAATATTCCTAGACCACCTAAGGCGCGCGCAACCGAACAGCACGCATATAATGGAGTCATTCGATGTTAGTTCATTTTATACCAACNTGTCCAATGACTCCGCAATGCAAGCCACTCTCGAGTTGCTCGTAGAGCATGAAAAGAAAATAAAAATGCACGGCTTGTCGATTGCGCAACTAATGACTCTCTTAAAACAGTGTCTTAGTTGTTCAATCTTTAGGTGGTTTGGAAAATATTTTGCACAAATCAGAGGGTTGGCCATGTGACAGCGTTTAGCACCAAGCCTTGCCATCGCTTTCATGTCTAAGGTGGAAGCTCCAGTTCTCGATCACCGACCCTTACTCTACTGTCGATACATAGACGACTGCTTCATCGTCTGTTCCACACAAGAACAGATGGATGAGTGCTTTGAATTATTAAACCGACAGTCAGAGTATATAAAATTTACACGGGAAAAACCTACCGAGAACTGGCTTCCATTCCTAAACATCCAAATAAAGCTCTCAGTAAGTGGCTAGCTATATAACAAAATGGTATCGCAAGCCAAGTAGTAAAGACATTCTAGTTCACTGCCTCTCCTCTCATCCTTCACACATAAAAAAAGCACTTATCAAAAATATGTATCGTACGGCTAAAAATGTGTGTACAGGAGACGAGGAAAGGAAAGAATCGCTAAACCTGGCAGGGCAATAGCCATTTCCAATGGCTACGAAGTAGAAGCCACTCGGGTTAGAGGAAAACTTTGGGTAGATTCCCCAAATAATGTTTCGGGCTTAAGTAACATTCCCTTTAAGCTGCCCTTCATATCAAATGAAGTAAGTCACGCCATTAAAAAGTGCTTAAGAAAAAGTGGTCTTGAAAATTATGTAACGATTATTGACATCCCACCCAATACCCTATGCCGCCAGTTAGTTCGAAACCGTCTCTATGATCGTTTGTGCAGCTCAGAAAACTGTATGATTTGTCCTAACGGTAGAGGCGGGGATTGCACGAGTTTAGGTATAATATACTTGATCTCATGTAATGGATGCGGCGAGGAATATATCGGAGAAACGGGTAGACCACTTTGTGTCCGCATAAAAGAACATCGAGATGGAAGAGCTAAAATCCGTTTAAACACTCCTTTAGGTACGCATAGGGCACAAAAGCATAACGGCGATGATTCTGAAGTGACTATGTGGAACCTGGCGCAGGAGTCGAAAACATCAGCGCTCGAGACTCTTGAGGCGTTTTGGATAAATTTCAAAAATCCAAAGATGAACCGGAAAGACGGATGCCTCACTATCACGCGTGACCTGACGCCCTATTTCAAAATGATATTTTGACCCCGGGGTGTGTCTTGCTCGCGACTCCACGTGAGCAACGCGTGGGCCAGTCCCATTCGTAAGGTCACAGCGAGTAGCATTTCTGTTCAACATGGCGTCTGTTTAAAAGTTCGATCTTCATCAATATTTTAGCTTTTTTCCACCGAATAATTAAGGTATTCTATTCTTATATAAAACACGTCCAGGCTCTGAGGAAGGCGAAATCGCCGGAACGTCAGCCATCATCCAACAACACCAACAACAACGACAACGACAACAAAGACCTATATCAACCTCGCATCAGCTAAAGAAGACTAGTTTATACGATCATATAAATAAATATCGGGTCGGTAGTCTTATTGCTGTGCGTTTGACATCTCGGCGAATCCGTCATCAACAGCCCTTGTCTATTGGTTCTCGCTCAAACGCATTACGTGTTCCGGCCCACAATTTTCGGCGATTTGGGTCTCTCTTTCATTTGCGTAATACAGGATATTTAGGATATCGCTCCTTCGCCTTGCACATTCCATAACACTGAGTGGTCTTTCATCCTGCCTACGTAGTGATCATGCTTTTGAAGCATATGCTAAAGCAGGAACTACAGTTGAGTCGAAAAGGTGGGCATGGATTCAGGTGTTTTTTGCTCCGTTCACTACATCGATGTTTTTGACAGCTCCCTAACCGCTAGTTTCCTTCTGTTCAACTTTGGAGCTAAATCATTCAACATGTTGGTTTCCCGACCTAGATAAACGTCGCTGGAGCGTTCGGAGGCATTCGTTCCATTGCTCCTGAATGGGAAACACTAAACCTATCTGTGCCTCATGAGCATCCTGAGTTGAAAATCAATCTTTTACCAATATTACATGGGATACGTTTAATACTAGAGCTCGATTCTCCTACCCCGAAAGTCTTGTTACGACTAAATTAAGAGCAGTAAAAATCACCAGCCTAGTAACTACCAGCAGCAAGGTCGGAAATCTACCTCGAATCTACAGAAGCAAGAGAATGCCCGCAGTACTGACGTCAGAGAGTCTTAGACGTGCAACCTCTAGACTGTAGAGGAAGAAAATCCTGTCTAAGCGATTACCCTTGGGGAGAGCCATTTAGGTATAAATGCCGTATTTGGTAAAACACCGTTATCGGAAACTGATGACGACTATAATCGCTTTGTAAAATACCTGTATGACAGTAAAGGGAAAGTCGAGAACGTGAAAGTAACCAATAAGTTGATATCACCGGAAACTCCAGCATCTACAGCGTGTTGTTATTGCAAAAATCCCGGGAAACTACCTTCTTGTCCTCATAAGTGATAAAAGTCTTAATGGGAGAAGAAGAGCGATATCGTTCGACGGCTGTAGGGTTGAAAGAGCATGTGCATTATCTTCTGGGCATAGAGAATTGCCCAGCTAACAGCTCTGACATATCCGCCCAAAACAATCCCTGCACCCATGAGTATGATCACCCACGAATTGTGCTATATCTTCTTCGACAGCTTTGTCCATTTGCGTACACACTGCTTCATCTCGGGCGGACAAGTCGCCGTAATAGTTCTCATATCAAATGTCAGCGCTGCCTAGCCGATAAAGTTTCGTACAGGTATTCAGTCTGGAGAGTACTACATACTCGAATAACGCCCTAGCTTAGCATTTCATACAATGCCTCTAAGAATGCATTGCTCGCAATAAAGGGCAGGCCAAAAGAATCTTGCTGTTGCAAAAAAAGAAGATCCTGCAACAACATTATGTTCTCACACTAAAAGCTAAAAGCTTTCGGCGCTGATCAATCCTTGAGGTATGCGCCATGCAGTCGACTTCATTAAACATCGTTGGAGGTGATTGAATGCATACCTGGCCTTTCTTTACAATGACTCGCGGTGTCCTACCGATTTATCGAGCCAAAGCTGCTATCCTCCAAAACAAGTCTGGTACCAAATACCCGACTCCGGAGGGATGGAAAGCTTGGTGGGTCTTGGGCGCAGGGATCGACCCCAGGTGCACTGTAGGGCGTCTCCGACCATTGGCCTCAGGCGCCCCAATTCTCTTATTACCACTCGAAAAATGGTTCAGCACCACTCTCGAAATAGTCTCGCAAAAGCTGGAATGGGACAACATAAGAGTTGGAAGTAGGAAGTAGGCACATGCCACCTTACCCATATCTAAATTAGTGATAACGTCGTTCTCATAATCCCAAATATAAATAACCGGAATAGCTCTATTTCGATGACGTTTGCGAAACTCCTCTTCAGTAGAACTTCAAAAAAAGTTTTCAGGAGTATAGGACCTGCTTCTAAAGCTCACATTCACACTGAAGAAAGAAATATATCCAACCGCTCCACTTCGTCAATGGATCGAGAAGTCAACATGATGACTTCATTCCGGAGGTGAGTAGGATTTGGACACGTTTCCGCGATCAAGAAAGTATCGAAAATGTATTGGACAAGGTGCAAAAAGTTTCTTGACCAAACTTGCGACTGTAATATTTTTTCTGTGCCGATAGTTGTTGCGGAAGCCTGGACACAGCAAGATTTGGGACAATTCAGTCGGTGTCATCAAATGCGCTATCGAGGTGGTGTCAGGAAGCCGAGTTAACCGAACCCTGAATATCTCTCAACAACGGTCGTGGTATAACAGCTTTTAAAAGTAACAGAAGACCAACAACGCAATGGTGGCACGACATCTTAAAGGAGATCGTGGACGCAAAATGCTATACTTGTCATATCCAAGAAAGAAAAACACTCCACTAAGTGACAACAGCACAGCACTGAAAGAAAAACCACTAGCCTCCAGTGGAGCCATTCGATGGTCAACGGTAAGTCAGGTGACATCTGTAGCGCTTGAAAAAAAATCCCCAGCGAGCCAATTAGAACAGTCACTTTATAGACATAAGTAAAAAGATACTACACAACTTCTTCAGTGGATTTTTCAGTTCTCAAAAGACGTGTTCAACTTCACTGGGCACAGCTTACTATAGACAATTTTAAAAAAAACCACTACAGAAACAATATACATAAATGAAATTTTTATTAAAATAGTTCAGATAACAGAGTGATCAATTAAAATAATGACGACGAATTTGTAATAAATTCTTAGAAGAAAACACAACTAGGAAAATGTTGTTATTCCACATGAGATTTAATGGTATTGGCCCCTGACAGAAATCATCATTGCCCGACGCTCTTCCTGTAAATTGAAAACTGTAACAGTTGAAAAACTATGTAATAACACTCTTTAAAATCACACTAAAATAGCACTTTTTGGAGCTTTTGCACTACTGTACACCTACAGACCACTATGAGAATATCATCATTCGCAACTTGAAGCATTCCCTAACATTATCAATAATATAAACCACGTTACATCCATGACACACCCTTTTAAGGTTTTAGGGCCTTAAGCTAGTGTTTCGTCATACCTCCTTCTCTAACTACCTACACTTTGCAATTATCTTCTTTTCAGTGTTTTTCATCAATAAGCAGACACGAGGTTGTTAATATAGAATTTATTAGAACACAATTGCTGACGTTTCGGCGGCTTCGCCTTCCTCAGAGCCGTTTATTTGTTGTAAGTATTTAAGTTAGTTGGTGGATAGCCGCCGCACAGAGTAATATAATGTTTGTTTTTTTATTTACTGCCTACTACAATTTTCACGGCAGGGTACTATGCGAAATCAACCACAGCGATGCTGAGATATTCGCAAAACATGGACCCGAACCACGACTTCCCTTTCCGGAGTTATCGACCATGTATTACTCTGTACGGCGGCTATCCACCAACTAACTTAAATACTTACAACAAATAAACGGCTCTGAGGAAGGCGAAGCCGCCGAAACGTCAGCAATTGTGTTCTAATAAATTCTATATTAACAACCTCGTGTCTGCTTATTGATGAAAAACATTGAATTATCAATTAATGCCAAGGTTAACAGAAAGTCGGTCATGGGTATCTTCTTTTCGTCCTATTATGTTCAAACACCTCCTAACAGTTTACCACCGCATCGTGGCTGGGAAGTGTTCCTTAGTGTCGGCAGGCTGCGATGTACAGCGGAGGAATTCCCCCCCCCCCCCCCCCTCCTCCCCTCTTCTTTCTCGCACGAGTGCTTCCCAGGTTGGGCAGTTCGGCGTTTACATTAAAAAGCCCAGCTAGGAGTAAACCAATACCAGGATTCACCACCGTCCTGGTATCAAGCTAGTCGCAAGGTAGGAAATCTCCCCCTGATCCACAAAGACGGCGACTGCCTGTGGTGATGACTTGTGGCAGACTTTGACCAGGCTAACCAATGGACTCCAAGGAACCACAGAGGCCAAACCAGCAAAACTCTGAAAAAACGGAAAGTATGCTGAGGCCCGCACAACCACTGAAGACGAGCTGTACAAGTATTTAAATAAGTATGCTCAAACACTACAATTTTACATGTTGCACATCCCATCAGTGTGCTACCTTCTACGGAGAAGGCGTCTTAACTGACAACACGAACCACGCATTTACAAACTTCTATTTCACAGCAACAACATAAAATACTAGCGATCATATACGCACCGTATATATGCGTATACAAGCCTGGCTAACCGCAGCCTTAAAATAGAAAAAAATCAAGACTTACTAAAGACGTAGTTTGATGATCATCAGGATGAATAATACGTGTTTTTGCCCCCAATTTGTTCGCAACTGCTGCGGCAGAAGAGTTCAACACAGATGAATGAGTACCCTGTAAAAGCAGTCTGCTATTTTCAAATCTCGAAAGCAAGCAGCTGTTTGTCATTATAAAATCTATAATTTTAAACTAAACCACAAACGGTCAGCCCTTTCATATCTCGTAAACTTACAACTCCATTTCCATTATACATTGCACCACCATAAGGATCCCCTGCTCCTCTTTCTGCACGTTCATCCGGACGACGATCAAAGCGAGACCCTAAAAGCGTAATTTACAGAAGTTAGAATAAAAAACACTACGCTGTCTCTGTTAAAGTTGTGCTCTTAAGCTAACCTAATCCTCTGCCATATTCATCATTTTGCGGTTGCATTTCTCTTGAGAAATCACGGCTGAGGTTATTGTCGTGTGATGGACCAACGCGACCGTTGAAATCCGGCCTAGAATGAGGAGCATGTGCATAACTGTCAACTCGTTCCAGGTCGTCCCTGCTGTATTCGTTGGGAGCGGCAGTTCGCGCTCCATATTCGTCCCTCGAATTGGGAGGAACACCTCTGTTGTAATCATCTCTCTGATTTCTAAAATCGTTTTTGTGGACTCCCCCTCGGTACTCATCAGAACCAAACCGATCTCCTAGACCCTGAAAATAAATTGACAAAGTGAGAAAACAAAACTAGAGAACAGCTGAAGTGTTATTTAACCTCATAATCATATCCGTCTTCACGCGTGCCCCTGTTATAATCAGGAGCGCTCCTATAATCTGAATCATAGTCTCCTCTAGATTCGTCTCGTCCACTATCAGGCATTGGTCTATAAATTAAAGTAACGAATACGTCAATCTACATAAATTCAAACTGCAAAAACATACCCAATTTTAGATGTCGGCAAAGTAGTTTGGTTGGAAGATGCAACCGACGATGTAGACATTGGCGGAGGAGCCGGCATTCCGAATGGAGGTACCGGGGGCATTCCCATTCCAGGAGGCGGAGGCATAAAGGGTGGCATTCCGTGGATTCCTAAAAGTTACTACGTAAGAAAGTGAAATGCAATATACTTCTTATAACTAGGAAAGAAAAGATAACGAACCATGAGGTACAATTGGTGGCATTCCTGGCATCATAGGGAATGGTGGAAAAGGTGGCATCCCAGACATCATTGGTGGCATTGTCGGCATTGGTCCAGGTGGCATAGGGGGAACGTCGTCCTTACGATCTCGTTTAGCCTCAGGTTCCTCATCTGCAACGATAATATAGAAAAAACGGAAATCAACAGTCTCGAAATCTTCTTTAATCATGCTCTACGACCTAGGAAGTTTCCACTCTTTCAAAATAATTGGTTGAAATAAGCAATTCCAAAATCCTACGCCTTAACCCAGGCGAACATCGGTATCATCACTTTCTTGAACATTTCCGTAAACAACCAAACAAAACTCATTTTTCGTATATCATTGCCTAAAAGACACGCAATCATTAATCAATAATGTCGTCCCATCTATCTTTGCATAATTAGTCCCATGCAACCTATAAAAATAACGCACTCATAAAAGTACAATTTGAGGAAAAGATGTTCAAAGTCAACCAAAGACCCACTAGCCATTAAGGCCGAGGCGAAACACTAGGTAGTGTGCCAAGGATAGTTCAATCCAACTATAAATACCAGGCTGCTCGGAAACTAATATCGACTTTGTAACTCCATTATTCATGTATAAGTGTTAACAACATTTACTTTTCTAGTCCCGTACTGTAAGAAATCATTGCATAGCTCATGTTATGCGTTTTTCGTCCATATAGTTGAGTTGTAGTGTAAACAGTGTTCTAACAGACCCTAAAGGTTAGATTTTTTAAAAGCTTCATTTTATATGACTCGTCTTCACTTCTGCTGTACAGATCCCAGGACTTCTCACATCCAACTCATTTCCTCGCATCCATCATCCATGAAGATCTTCTTACTTTTATGTGTGCCTTTGGCCGTTCTACGAAAATTTTCCTTCCATTACGAATGTCGTAGAATATAGGTATCTCGTTTCGGAGTATGGAAAGATTTGAAAGCCAAGAAATCTCAACGAATGGATGCTGCACAGAATGAATAACAATCGAAGAAATTGCCGTTTCGAGGTGTCGTCGTTTTTTTGGCAACAACCAGAGTGACCGGAATGTCGCACTACTGATGCTGCAAAGGTTACACGAGCTGGACACCAAACTCTACCTAATCCATTACACTTGCCAGAACTTTCTTGTACCGACTGCTACTTCGTCAAGTATCTTGAAAATTTCGTGTGTCAGAAATACTTGAGAAACCAGCAGAGGAGGCCAGAATTGGCCACAACAACCTCATCGCCTCCAGAAGACCAGAATTCAATATAAATAATACTGTGCCTCGTTGGCAAGTGTCTAGATTCAAATGGTTCTTATTTCGGGAAATAAAGTTTACTGAACAAACACATGCCATTCTAAAAATACAAGTTGAAATCCGCCATTAATTCCCGAGCAACCTTCCATATCTCACGCTTGCACGTGCCCTATCCATGGCTGCATCATACCCGTGATGAAAGAAACGCTTTGCTGAATCGATGAGAATCGACAGCGCCACGCCCGAAATGTCTCACCGGAATTATAATCCATGGTGGACGTTGGTATGGGTGATGGATGATCCGTGAACTTTTACGAAACAAAAAAGAAAGACAAACCTCCTCTAGTTGTTCCGGGTGGTATACCCTGCATACCATAAATCTCCATCTGTGATGAATCCCTTCCGGGAACAGCACCCGGAATCTTGTCGATCGTTTCTTTGTGCACCTATGGTTAACATTCAGATACAAAATAACGCGAACTTACTGTTTTTCGGGGCTATCAGGAAAAACACGTGAAAAACGGACGAAAAAAAAAAGCGAAAAAAAGATGAAACACCATTTTGACCCACAAGGTTTGGTTGGAATGTTCAAAATATGAGAACCTGAAATATTCAGAGAGAAAACGATTCATAACGTCACCTGCATGCAGTGAATGGCCAGACCTGGGCCACTGAACAACTTTTTATGGCATATGTGACATTTGAAGTGTTTTGCCTTCTGGTGTTGGATCAGGACTTTCTCATCGTCGAATTCTCGGTTGCAATACCTTGAAAGAAGCATCCGCTAAATCTTCGACATTAAAGGGTTAAATCACCATCAAAAAAGAAGGAACATGTTAGTAACAGGTGTTCAGACAATATCAACGTAGACAAATCGAAAACACTGTCCACTTTAGAACTTTTTGCTCAAAAGTTCCACTATGTTGAAGCTCCCACAACTCCTAATTTTTGGCAAGGCACTAACGTTTTCCAAAGCACTTGGACACTTACTTGAACGGGTAATCCTCACTGGTTGTGCGGGCCCCAGTATTATCTCCATTTCCTTTCCCGACTTTCGCTGGTTCAGCTATTGTGTTTCCCTGGAGTCCCGAAGTAAACTAGAGCAAAGGCTGCCTCAGGCCGTCACCACTACAGGCAGTCGGCGCTCTTGTGGATTAGACAGATTCGGCACTACGGCAGTAGTTTGATATAAGGATGGCAGTGGATCGGGGTATTGGTTTACTCTCAGCGGAGCCTCACAATGGAAACGCCGGACTCAGCTTAGGAGACCCTGCCGGGGTGATGAATTCCCACGCTGTGCATCGCAGTCCGACACCCAGAAACACCGCCCAGCCACGAGGTAGTAAACCTTTGAGAGGTTTTCAAAGTAACGGATGTCTAATCTATAAAAATCATCTGTAATCAGAAAAAAACTGCCAAGCAGTGAGTAATTCCACGTTGTACTTCTCTCTTCAGTAGCTATTGCAATGACAGCCACCTGCTATCCATCTAATTAAAGCACATATGAAAGCATACACACCAACACCAAGGCTTTTCGATCTTCTTCTTCTTGCGACCCATTCAGAATTTGGCTTAGAACTCCACAAATTCGTTCCTGAAAATATGACTTATAAGTTATGGTAAAAACTGAACATATGAGTAAATTGACGTAATCAGTTCAGTGGAGAAATTAACAGTAACTATTGAGACACAAATGATCGCCTGCCAAGATACCAAATGCTCTCATTATCCTTATCTGCTCTCTTCGTATCAGTTCTAATGAAGCTCAATGAGTGATTTTGTCAAACCAAAATCAAAAACAGTACAAAATATGCTAGTATAGAACATAACAGTATGTCAAAACCGACTTTCTCTTAACCTCGGCATAACTAATCAATACACATTCCTTCTTTGACAAGCTTACACGAGGTTGTTATATAACCTCTTTCCGGCTAAAGTTTGAAACAGCCGAATAAAGGTCACATAACGACCTCGTGTAAGCTTATCAAAGAAAGCATACATAGCATATATGCTATTTAAATTAACGAACAAGAACACTTGCACACTTCGATGTGAGAGTGCTTAGCACTCAGGTCATTTCGGTCCGGCTTGGAACGTTGGTCAGGAATCAAGAGCACTGTGTCTGAAGTCCTTTCACAAAACACATCAGGGTTCCTCTCTGCTTCCCAGGAAACCATTCACAAATGACATAATCCTTTTCTTCACCCAAACTGAGTAGGAACATGGATATGGTAGTGACAGTATAAAGTGAAACGACAGTTTCTAACGCTTCAGCAACAGCCGATATCTCCACTAAAAGTAGAGGGATATTCGGCAACCATTCAATTTTGGCATTGACCAATCACGGAAGATGACGCGGTGCCACATTTAGCCGGACGATCTATAGGCATACAGAAATTACCACTTCGTACGGCTTCAAATTCATACGAGAATGAAAAAGGCAACTCCGAAGTATCCCGACAAAAACCCACAGGAGAAATTCCAGGACACAAAGCAATGAATGCTAACCCAGAATGACGATTGCAACGATGAATTCGTACTAGAGTATCTCTAGTAAATACCGAGATGAAGCATTTCCTTACCGCCTTCGAATGAGACTTCACAGGATGATAGTCACATATTCACATATTAAAGGAGGGATTACATGGCAGAGTTTTTCTCTGACTCTGACAAAAAGGCAGAGACGCAGAGAGCAGACGTGTACAGTGCAATCGGAGCAGGCAATCGTGTGGGGTTTCGCGTGGTCTGGCCGCATCATGTATGTTTTGTAGTATTTTGTCTTCTGAACATTTTGAAGTACAGAGATGGAAACCCAAGTACTTTCGAAATTTTAATAGAACCATTTTACAACGGCCACTTTTAGAGGTGTGGAGTGGGAGTATCTTCATTGCTTAAATTCTCTGTGATTTGTAATTCGTCGTTTCGTGTGAAACTATGTTTCAATTGACTGGGCTCTATCTTACTGTCTTTTAAGTTTATAAATTGATCTTACGGGTTTTTCTGGTTGTAAAATGTTCCGGCTGACATGACTGTTTAGCAGCGAACTGTAGTTAACGCAGAATTGGTTGCATGAATTTCCATTTCCCTAGTTCTGCTGATCTCAAACATCCTTCTTCAGCTGATATGAAGGCTCTGATTCTTGTCGGAGGCTATGGAACCCGACTCCGGCCGTTGACACTGACACAGCCGAAGCCTCTGGTGGAGTTCGCGAACAAACCGATGATGCTCCACCAAATTGAAGCCCTCGCTAAAGTCGGAGTGACGAGTGTCGTGCTTGCTGTCAGGTGACTTATTTCATAGTTTTTAGTTCACCCTGCTCTTACTAATTAAGACTTACTAATGCGCAGATTTAGAAAAGTACACTGAACCAAACTAAATGAGACAGCCGACTTAGCTTTCACGAGTTCGGGAGTCCTTATACGTTAAAAAATTTATCAATTCTAGATATGGGAATCACTTCCCGTATTGTAAAAGCCTCATGGATTTAATGCATCCATCTCGCCCAAATTGATTTTTTTTTTGTTTTTTATATGACCCGTTTTCACGTCTACTGTGCTGCTCCCAGCACTTTTCACATTCGATTCGTTTCCCGGCATCTATCATCCACGAAGTTCCCACGAGAGTCTTCCAACTTTCCCGTGTCACTTCGGGTGCTGCTTGTGGATTTTCACTTCATCTTGAGTGTTGTATAATGCTGGTCGAGTCGACTTTTTCTGGAGTCCTGAAATACTTTGGTTAAAGCTTTCCCACTTAGATTGTAGAGCACCTTCTGTTTTTGCGAGGGCGTATTCATGCATGCATGAGTGGGTATGTGCTCGTCTGTTCTGATTGTAATGAGTCAATCTGGACAGAAGTCTGCAGTAATGTAGCTGGAAGATGCATGGGTTAAGATTCGCCTTCAAAAAACGAGCTCAGCATCTTCTCTGGTAGATGCTAGCACCTGTATCACCTGCGATTCCGTTGATCGTCGAGTGACTGAACGAGTGAAAGGGAGCACCAGTACAACCTCTATTCCTCGCTTTCGCGTGCAAGAGTGGCCCCTTGGGCATTACTTGCTCTAGCGACTCGTTGAGAATCATACCTTTTTTCCAGGCTTCTAGGCTTTTTGTGAAAAACTGACCATAGTGTCGGTGTTCTTCGTGCTGTATGTTTGACATTTCAAGGAATGCAGTCACAAACAGCTCTTGTTCATTTGTTGTCGTTCATACGTATTACGTATCCGGTCCCCTTTATCTTCGACGCTTTGGCGTATAAAACGGGGTCTTTGGTTTTTGATAGCTGACGTAGATCAGGGTTTCGAATTCCTTCCCTCAATTTCATGATGCGGGATTCTCCCAGCATCTTCGTTTCGACTGCGCGTGCAATAACGCTGAGTGATCTTTCATTCTGCTCAAGCAGCGACCAGATATCTGATGCTTACGTTAAGGCAGGAAGAGTCGTAGAGTGGAGAAGGTGGGCACGAAGTCGGGTATTCTCTATTCTCTCCACTACATCTTCGGTGCCCTACAAGTCGCTCTCTTCCTTCTGCTCAACTCTGGAGCTAAGTCGTATAACTTGTTGATTTCCTGACGTAGACAGACGTAACCGAACCATGCGGAGATATTCGTTCCGTTGCGCGTAAATGGGCATACGAAACCAATCCTTTCTTCATGAACATCGTTTTTCTGAGATTTAGTCGAAGACCAGTCTTTCCACAGGCTTTATCAAAGTCGGCAAGCGTACGTTCCGCCTGGCTAATGTTTGGTGTTATAAGGAGGATGTCATTAGCAAAACGAAGATGGTGAAACTGCCGACCATAGATTATCATTCCCATATTATCCCATTCCAATGTTCGCATGACGTTCTGGAGGGTGGCGGTAAATAATTTTGGTGAGATGGTATCGCCTTGCTTAACCTCTCTTTTGATGTCGATGTCAATACCGTTGTGGAATTCTGATGTCTTCCTTGTGAAATATTTATATAACTCACGTTTTTCTTCGATAAGAAAACAAGAGGCAGTATGCTTATCGAAGAGAAACAATGAATTGCCTATCGATGCCGACGTTAGCAGAAAGTCGGCCTTGGGAATTTATATAACTTTATTTATACGGCCTCATAAACTGATCTTATTGAGCCGACACGAGGTTTGCATAGGTCTTCATAGGCGTTGTTTGTTGTTGTTGTTGTCGTTGCTGTTGGTGTTATTGGACGATGGACGACGTTTCGGCGATTTCGCCTTCCTCAGAGCCTAGACATATTTTATGTAGCAGTAGTCTTATATTCGGTGAAATACTTATAGTATCAATGGAGATCAAACTTTCAAATAAACGCCATATCGATCAAAAATGCTACTCATCGTGCTGTTACGAGTGGGGCTGCCCGCGTGTTCTTCACGTGGGCCGCCAAGAGGCACCCATCCAATGGTCAAAATATCACATTGCGTCGAGTCCAATGTAGAGTGGAGCTTCTGGAATTGCGAGTAATCACAAAAGGTCTTATTCGTCGTGATAAACTATGACGGCAGCTCACCCTGTTCGTTCCAGTTCATGGATTCCTGTGTGACGTTCTTCTGAGTCCATTGTTAGAGTTAGAATTTTCAATGATGGCCTGTACTGTCTTCTCTGTTAAACTTACGCAAGTCCATGTGGAGCGTCATTGAGTTCGTCTTCGTCATAGCTTGGTGTGGGTGCGCAGACGATGAAGATCGTCAGAGCTGAAATTCACATCTCTTAAACCACAAGCGTCGGATCCGGCTTTTAAGTTGTTCGAGTGAATCGATGTTCATGGCCAAACTCGTGTTGACGGAAGCTCCAACGTCGCTGATTCCTCTACTGTTGCTTGTTCGGAGGAACATTTCTTCTCGGGTTTCACGGACAGCATTGAATGAATGGCGTCTTTTCGTCTCACCCAGTCCGATGACGTCGTTCCTTATCTTTCTTTCCTACATTTTCAGGTCCTGTACCGAGGACCGCGGTGCAAGTAAGCGTGCGTTAAAGGTACTGATCGTGCTTTTGTCCTTTTCGATTTAGGTAGCCTAGAATGGTCCTGAGATTTTGGCAATCTGTCCTTATTCGTCCTACCTAACGCTGTACCATCGGGGGCTCTTTCGGGATCAGCAGAATGAGGCCCATCTAGTTTTCAGTGTCTAGCAGTTTTCTGAAGTGCCTGAAGTAATGTTTTAGCTTTTATTTACTGCCTATTCTTTTTTCATAATAGTGCACGATGTGAACTACAACAAGGATTCTGAGATATGAGCAAAACTCATAACCTTAGATGGGTTTGGATCCCATGATCACTTATACCGTTTGCTTGCGTGTTATCCACAACAGAAACCCAAGCCCTGCTGCGTCTTTTAGCCTGGTCTTTACTCTGTCGCTGCTATTAATAACTACTGTTGTGGTTGGGGTAATCGTGCGTTCGAAGCCGATCTTGGATTCCGAGCTTTGCTGATATCTGAGTGTATTTGTGGTTATAATTCACATCATACCTAGAATAGTTTTATAGGAAGAATTTTTACTAAAACGGGGCCTTCGTATTCTTAAGAGTGTCTGAAGAGCATCTGTTGAATCTTTCATATTAGTGAGGTAGCGTATTCTGTTGTGGTAGAATACTTCTGATATGGTAAGAGCGAAAGAAGAGTATGATAAGGTATACCTGTTGAGACCAGACCGTTGTAAATGTTATGGGAACGTATATTAGATAAATAACGTCTTCAGTCCTTGTAATGGATTTTTTTAGCCAATGTAATTTATTATTGCACTGTCCACTTTGGTGGTTAGCGCTTCCTTGCTTTAATATTATCCTTCTTCATGCACTATCCTTCAAATGTTTATTGATTTCATTCCATTTTCATTGTAGACGCTTAAGTTCCGCTTTCACCACTGTGACCACTTTTAACAAACTGCTATATAATTTGTAATAAAATTTCTCGTTTCGTTCAGCTATCGTCCTGAGCAGTTGGAACAAGAAATGAAGGTGCATGCGGAGAGACTCGGAATTCAGGTCCACTTCTCGCTGGAAGAAGAGCCTCTAGGAACTGCCGGACCACTTGCTCTTGCTAGGTGTTTGTACCTCTTATTTCTTCCAGTGCATCATTTTGGTGTTTTACGATACTTCGTTTTTGTGAAGTAAAGCGAGCATCCCTTTTAGGCAATATTTGGATGGTGACGAGCCATTTTTTGTCCTTAACTCTGATGTTATTTGTTTATTCCCATTCAAAGAAATGATTGATTTTCACCTATCGCATGGCGGCGAAGGGACTATTGCTGTTACACAGGTATATTGCTCATCAACTTCTTAGTTAAATTCACTTTCGCGATAAGTTTAGCTTTTTTGTTGTTTAAGCATAAATAATACTTTATTGATGCTTTATTGGTACTTGATATGATACTTACTTGATACTTGAATGGCCCGTCCTCACTGGTTGTGCGGGCCCCACCATCACCTGTCACCTGAATCACCTGTAGTCCCCTTGATCGTCAAGTGACTCGAGCGGGTGCCAGGAAATCTTCCATTTTTCCCTGTCGCGTGCAAAAGTAGCCCAGTGGGTTCTGCTCGGTCTAGGGATTTGTCGAGCATCATATCTTTCTTCAAGGCTCTTTGTGAAGAACTCTGACCATCCATTTTTCGGAGATTTGCTGGTTAAACCATTATGGTTCCCAGGCGTCCCGAGGTCAGCCTGGCCAAAGTCTACCCCAGGTCTTCACCACCACGGGCAGTCGTAGCCCTTGTGGATCAGAGGGAGATTTGCCACCATGCGACTTTGATACCAGGACGGTGGTGTATCCTGGTATTAGTTTACTCTTAGCTAGGCTTCCTGATGGAAACGTCGGACTTCTTCTCAGCTTGGAAGGCCCTGCCAGGAGATGAATCCTCCGCTGTACATCGCAGTCCGACACGTAGGAACACCTCCCAGCCACGATGAGGCGGTAAACCGTTGGGAGGGTATTTATTATTATTTAATGATATAGACTGTAAGTGGAGTACTGCAAAATTCTTACGTATAGACATGCTTGATTATGAATCAACACTTTCGAACCATTTGAAGTGGACCAAGAGATGAAGCAAAAGAAGATCTTTTTGGCATAACTCAGATGCTATGGATGTACACCCTGTACATAGAACTCATGTAGTGCAATGGTTAGAGGTGCCCTAGAGTGTGCACCTGATTCATCCATCACTGGTTCGATCACATCCTCCGGGTTCACCAAGCCTGCCATCCCTTCAAGGTCACCAAATTGGTGTCAGATTTGTCTGGGAAGGTAAAAGCGCTGACATGGTATATAGGAAGGCCATCGCAAGTCATTGTACAATCCAGGTATGCATTCAACCATCTCCATGATGCTTGATGCAGCTGAAAGTGTGGCGAATTCCTCAGGGATTGAACAACGAACACTATCCATTCTATCCTTCACTCTTTGCATAGACTATGGTGGTTCTAGCACATTTTAGTTAGGTATTTTTCTAGTTGGACGATTTTTTCTCATACTTTACCCTTATCCAGCGGAGGAAGGCTTGTAAACTTGTCCATGACTTTGTGCAAGGATAGGAGAAATAACTACTAATGAATGTTCTTAACCAGGCTTCCAAATGGGAAGGCCGAACTCGTTTTTAAATTACCCATTATTTCCTGAAAGAACTTCTCATAGACAACATAAAACTTGGATATTCCTTTGTCACGACAAGGAGATAAAAAATGATGAAGTATAACTTTGGATAGGAATAAGAATGAAAGCATGAAAAGATAGTGTACTTCTGAATGTTTTTTGCAGATGTACTGTTGTGTTTTGCTCTATTGCTTAAGAAGATGACTACTAAGTTGTTGGGTATTTTTACATATTTGTGTGACCTTGAAATGCCATCCTTAGCTTGCATTTATTTCTTGTCAATTTTCATATCGGTGACTCATTGGAATGATTATATCACCAAAGTTCTCTTCAGGTTTGTTAATTTTTTCGCGTTTTGCTATGTCTTTCATAGGTTGAAGAGCCCTCAAAGTATGGTGTCGTGGTATTTGACGAGCACAATGGCATGATTGCTGAGTTCGTAGAAAAACCTCAGGAATATGTTGGCAATAAGATTAATGCTGGTCTTTACATATTCAATCCATCAGTGCTTGATCGGATTTCCGTGCGTCCGACAAGCATTGAGAAAGAGGTATTATTTTGATCCTTTTTTTTTGCAGCCGCAAGAGACAAAGACTTGTCGATAGGATTTAGATTTTCCCACGGATGGCGGAATGTGGTACTCTTTTTGCTTTTGTCCTTTCTGGGTTCTGGATGGACGTCGGGCAACCGAAGGACTTCTTAAAAGGTTGAAGGTCTTATTCCACCTGTTATATGCTTCCTATATGCGTAAATTCTACTCTCTCACTTTTTTAGGGATGTCGTTGTTCCTGGATCACAAGAGAACGACAGAACCTTCAATGTTAGCGAAGGGTGAATCAATCCAAGGAAATGTTTTGATAGATGCTTCTGCCAAGATTGGGAATAACTGCCGAATTGGTCCTAACGTGGTGAATTGGTTAAAGATGGCATAATTCTTTCATCGTTTATCCATTCACAATGAGCGAACAAAAACTTTCGTGTTGACACTTGTTCTTGTTGAAAGTTGCATGGTGGCAAATCTCCTGACCCACAAGAGCGGTGGTGACGACCTGGGCAGACTTTGGTTTGGCTGACATTTGGACTCCAGGGAATGCATGCGAGAACTTCGAACAGAAGTACATTTAAGCACCCAATGATAGATCTATAGATGTTGAGATACTTTTTGTAAAATTCCTTCCACTCTGCGAAGGGCTTCGTTTTCACCCGTTGGAGAGAGTGAGAATCAAACCCTTTGCTGTGAACAGCTGGTGATATGCATCTTTAACAGTTTAATTTGGCAGGTACACTATTTTTCACGGCTACGCTGAGTGCAGTGGAATCGATACTGTCGTTGTATTTGATTAGTAATGGTGTTAGTGATAGACGTCCACCACTATGTTGTCATCATATAGAAGTACACATGGCGCTACTTGCACATATCAGGCCAGAATTGGGGCAGAAAGCATACTTGTTCAATGAGACCCCATACCGTTAATCATGCGCTTTTTGATGGCTAGGATGTAAGTAGAAAATGTTTATTTGACAGAGCTGACCTGATCTTCAAGGTGGAAAAGAATCAACTAAAAATTCAAGATTGCCATCAAGCCCATCATTTGGGACCTTTGAGAGCCATGCTGAGAATATGTAGTATACCTTGTTAGATCCACTCTTTGTAACGGATCCAGCTTCCAATATCTGGCTTAAATGTCACTGCTTTCAATTTTAGACTAGGCCAGTTATTTTTTGTACGTTGTAAGTCGCGTCTGCTGAAGTATGCCTGGTTTAATTCTGTAAATCTAAATACCATAATGTAGTCACTTTTTGTTTACTCCCTATTCTTTTTTCTTGACAGGATATGATGTGAAATACATATGCAATGATCCTGAAATATTGCAAAACTCCAAACCACTGGTGTCTGCGGTGGGGACCGAACACGCTCTTATCCTTTCCGGGGGCTAACGCGTTAACCACCACACCATGTGGATCCTCCGCGTCGCCTTTCTCTCAGCCGTGAAGAGTTCGCATGGTGTGGTGGTAAACACTTTATACCCCGGAAGGGGTAAGAGCGTATTCTTCGGCCCCATCGCAGGCACCAGCGGTCCGTAGTTTTACGATTATCTCAGCACCACTGTGGTTATAAATACCGTGTTTTCATCTTCCTCATTCAGTTGAGGTGTAGGAATAGTTAGTACAACGTTTACTATGCAGGTAATCGGACCAAGGGTGCTCGTCGAGGATGGTGTTTGTTTACGTCATAGTACAGTCCTATCCGATTCTGTTATTCGAACTCATTCGTGGATAAATCAAAGTATAATCGGACGAAAATGTTCAATCGGGCGATGGGTTCGCATCGAAAACAACAGCGTTATAGGAGATGATGTTGTAAGTATCCTGAAATAAGTACAGTTTTCATTCAATTAACTAATTTTGACGGTTTAGGTTGTTCACGACGAACTTTACCTTAACGGCGCGCAGGTTTTGCCTCATAAGTCAATTGCCAGCAATGTTCCTGAGCCACATATTATAATGTGATCCGTTTTTTTTGTTATATTTTTTTCGTTACTACTGAAATTAGTCAGAATGGTGGTACCAAATATTCTTTCCTCGTACATGTTCACTGTGATCGATGCTGTGATACGTTGTTGTGAATGTCAGGCGTTCTCTTGTACCGCAATGTGTTTGATATTGACCCCTCCATGACCGCAATTCTCTTACTTTCATTCTACTGACGAATTCTTAGGTGACTGTGAAACCAAAGGGTTGGGTACGCGTTTCACTGAGGTTCTCATGCTGTTAAGTTTTGTTTGCTTTTTGATTGTTATATGGTTTTCTTGGGTTGTTTCTATATGAATATTTCCCCTTTTGTCAAAGACATTGATGTACATGGTTTTTTTCCAGTCATTAAGGTGGTATCAGGTAATGTAGCTGTCATTTTCTTCGTGGTTGTTATTACGAGTGGTCTTAGTTTTAAATTGGGAACTTGTCATAACCGTTGTTACGAAATTTATGGTGCTCAACAGATGAGGTGGGTGATCTCGGGAGTGAAGTACAGAGGAAGATGAACTCAATAGCGAGTTCTTTGGAAGCAGAAGACTGGCTGGATATCTCCGACACGCCTTCTCTTCCATCTCTTTCATTAGACGATATCATTAACGAGGTGACTGGTCTAGGATCTGTGACACTTTTTAGAAGATAGTTTGAACCAGACGCGGTGATGATATCAGTCTGTTCTCCTAAAGTTACACTTTGTGATGTGGATTCTTCGGGTACGTTCACCATTCAGGTTTCTCATCTTGACGATGAGGCTTTGGATGTACGCTTATCAGATGGTGTTGAGCTGAACATATCATCCGTAGAAGCTCCCACAGGCTACGAGCTTGAGAATGTTGTGAAGACAAAGAGACTAGGTTTAAAGTGGCTTGGTTATAAGTAGCCGATAGTAATAGCCTTGTCATTTTCTATTGTAGATTCGATATCTCACCAGCTGCTTTCGTTCCGAGCAAAGAACGGGTTTGCTGTAGCGATTGCTACTGGTGGCAGTCACATTGCAGTGGCTACCAGTAAGGGCACATTACTAATTTTTGACGAAGAGGTATAGTGCATTTGTAACGTTTAATTGGTTGCAATGGTTTTGTGCCACTAAAGTAATATGCTGTTCCAGTCTGCAAGTATATTTCTCTTCCTTATGTGAACACTTGGACGGCCCGTCTTCACTGGTTGTGCAGACCTCAGCATATTCTCTACTTTAGGAGTTTTGCTGGTTTAGCCATTGTTTCCTGGAGTCCCGAGGTCAGCCTGGCCAAAGTCTGCCCAAGGTCTTCACCACCACAGGCAGTCTCCGCCCTTTGGGTCAGATGAAGATTTGCCACCACGCGACTAGTATGGTACCAGGACGGTGGTCGATCCTAGTACTGGTTTACTCTTAACTGGGCTTCCTGATGGAAACCTCGTACTCCTTCTCAGTTTTGGAGACCCTGCCAGAGGGATGAATCTCCCCGCTTTATATCGCAACCCTACACCCAGGAACAGGCCCCAGACACGATGAGATGATAAACCGTTAGGAGATATTTCTTTTTAATTGCGTTTAAATCAGTTTTGGTCTTGTGATCATAACAGTCGATTGGGTTGGCTTTGAAGTTATTATATTTTTCCTCTTACAGGCATTTATTTGCAGTTTTGTGGTCATTCGTTCAAAGTTAGTAAAGAGTTGAATGTAGAACAATTTCAGGATAATGTTCTGTTAGTGCTTGTGTCCTCCGAAAGCTTTACTTCCTCACGTGGTTGAGAGGGGTTCCTGAGTGTCGGTCTACGATGTATAGCGAGGGATTCATCCCCCTGGCAAGTTCTCCCAGGCTGAGAGTGAGTGCGGCGTTTCAATCAAGAATCACAGCTAAGAAGTAAACCAATACCACGATCCACCACCGTCCTGGTACCAAATTAGTTGCATGGCGGTAAATCTCTCTCTGATCTACAAAGCGGCGACTGCCTGTATCAGTGACGGTCTGGAGCAGATTTTGGCCAGGCTGACCCCAGCACTTCAGGGAACCACAATGCCTAAACCAATAAAACTCCGAAGAAGTGGGAATTATTCTGGGGTCTGCACAACCAGTGAGGACGGGTCATCCAATTATCCAAGTAGGTATTCATGTGGTTGTATATTCTTACCGTTCAGGGTCGATTGGAACGTTTCTGGTCAAGTTGTGAATCTGATGGTTCAGCATCATGTGTGGCGTTCTCTGGAAGTGGGAGATATGTTGCTATTGGGTATAGTAGAGGATTTGTAAAGGTAAATGTAAAGGTAGAAACATACTAGAACACAAAATGAGGCTTTACTATGGTTCAAAATTTATTGCTGCGAGCACAATGTTGCTGAGTTATCTGAAAAACTTGGACTCTAGGTCAGATTCGAATTCGCGACTACATTTTTCGTGGTCTGCTGTGTTACCCACTTCACCGCTGATGGTTGGGGTCCAAGTTTTGCAAATAGCTCAGCGTCGTTGTAGTTGTATTTCACAGAACACCCCGCCGTGAAAAAATAACAGGCATATAATGAACAGTTACAGATCATCAATCAAAAGAGTGGCGCAGTTGAAGGGCACATCAAGGAAGCAGTACAAATTGGGCGTGGAGTACTAGAGGTTCTGTTTCTGGACTCAGGTCGCACTCTTTTGACACTTGATAGCGGTGGATCGGTTTTTGAAATACACACTCGTCATAAGTTCCGTTTAGGAAAATCAAGAGTGAGTCACCATTTCTCCCTAATTTCAGACTAAGAAGTGGTTAACTAACTTTTGTGCTGTTTAGATACGTTGCGTATTTTCTGGTTGTAATGGCGAGGTGCTTCACATGCGTTTAATGCCTCAAAATCTCCTTGCTCTTCTTACCGTTTCTAAGGTTGTCTAAGCTTACCAAAAAAGCTTTTTTCAGATTTGCTTATTTAAGGTTATGATCATTTCATCACGTTTACGTGGGTCAGTGATTTGTGTCTTTCCAATGGATACCGACTTGAGTTTTCCGCCTTTACTAGATTACATTGAAGAGGTAGAGTTCCGAAAGTTATTTTGCGTGTAACGGGGTTCTTTTGCTCAAGGGTTATTCTGCTAGCGTTTTTTAAGGGCACGAAAAGTGACACACAAGGGGATCTTCGTGTTTGTCTGGGACGTGGATGTTCGCTTGCTATGTTTAAGATCAATCCACAGCATGCAAACATCTCTAGAAATGCTGTTGTGCTCCTTCACAGATTTGAACTTTCTCAGGTTTGTTTTTATGGTTTTTCGTACCACTTTGTCGGTCTGTCTGGGTTATCTAACACGTTGGCGACGATTGGAGGTATTTTGTTCAATACTAAAATGACTAGACTTTTTTTTTGTTAGCAAAGTGCTTCAAATCATATCTGTCTAAAACCGAAATTTTTCACTATAGGTTGAGGTATGTTTGTTCAAAGTTAAAAGAAATAGAAATCAATGGATGTCGTAGGAAGTGTGCTAAGTGACATTTCCCAAGTGAAAACAACTCAACGTTATTGATTCAGCCAATAGTGAACTTTGGTTTTCTCACGAAATCGTATTTGGTTGCTTTTAATGAGAAAGGAACTTGTTTAACTATCAATGGTGACAAGTGCACAGTCACGCAAGACTCGGAACGATGCAAAATCTCCCTGCAGTTTGCCACTTCGGATTATAAGGTAATGAGTATGATATACTTTCAAGGTGCACACTAATGTGGTTTTAAGGGTCTTACAACCGGTGGCAATGTAAGTCCAGCAATGCAGTATATAGCCGAGAGAGCTTGTTACCAATCTGTGTATAGAAGTCGCAATTCTGTTATTGTGCTTTCACACGATGAACTGTTCGAACTGAGTCTGCTTTCTGACGAAGATCAAATGAAGCTGTTCGTTGACAGGTTGGGTTTGATTGTTTTCCGTCAAACTATTTCTATGTACCTTGTTTGTAAGCAAACTTCATCCTGTTTCAATTTTCTTGTTTCTTTCTGCCTCGAAATAGTTCAGAAATGTTAATCCTTTATTTGCTACATGCCACAGCTTTTTACGGCAGGGTGTTACGTGAAACACAGCCATTATGATGCTGAGATATTTGCAAAACTGCAGACTTCAGGTGTCTGCGGTGGGGATGGAGCATTCTATTACCCTTTATGGGGCCAAGCAAATAAGAAGTTAAATTGTGATTTCAACTACGGCCTCAGCTTGGCTGGGTTCAATGTCGACTTGCGTTAACCCGATCAATCCCCTTTACAACTGATTGCTAGTGGCAATGGTAGATAGAAAACTTTGAAGAAACAGAGAAACAGGTGAAACGAAGGACGCGCATAATGTTGTGGTGGACATATTAGCCTACGAAGGTAGTAATAGTGTATTCAATCCCCACCGCAGGTACCAGCGGTCCGGAGTTTTGCAAGTATCTCAGCGTCAGTTTGATAGTTCAGGAGGTTTTATCAGATCAGATTGTCTAATTGGGCAACGTTCAACTCTTGCAGCGGTGGATGATTTACTGAACAATATTTAAGTGTCTGGAACCTAATGTTTATCACCTAAGAACCATCAAGTGTGTAACAGAAGCAGTGAAGTCTTCCCGTAGGATTGTAACCGCCGGTCAATCTGCTATCAACATGTTGGTAGTCTTCACTAGCGGAAAGTGTTCCATGTTTTCATGCCCACAGATTTCCTAACACAGCACTAGGCGCTCAATGTTCAGGATGTTACCCTACGGAAAGACTTCACCCTGTTCCAGTTACATACTTGGTCGTTCTTAGGTGATGAACAATTGGTTCTAGACAAATGTTTAGGTGATTTTGCATCATGAGTAATGTAGTCATTAATGATTATTTAGGGGAGATTTCGTATCGGCGTGCATGTACTTATTCGACATTTATCGCGGACGCGTGCTTGTCAACAAAGAATTTAAAGATCGTGTTCCAAGCCTTCTTCTCGAGCAGTTACGTCGAGTTCTTGACATAACTATGAGTGGATGCAAGGAAGGGAAAATATCTGATCTGGTATCACACTATAAGGTTGTCAGACTTTTTAAGAAATATGTAAACAACATGGGGTACGTAACGCTTGATCGTTTAGGCATATATTTCAATTCTTCTTGCAGTTTGTATAGGAGCACAAATGCGCACGTTTTTATACGATGAGGTGTGGCCAAAGTAAGCACTTTTTCTTTTTTTTTATCTTTCTTTTCCAAGGGTGTTCTATCACTAAGCTGACTGCAGCTGCAGCCTTACCACTAATGTGCTGTCTACTTTATCATTCAAGAATAGTAATACTGTTTTTTTTTCCTTAACAGCGTTTTCTCACTAATTTTCAGGGTCGAGTTAGATCCTTTGTCTCGTCTTATATTTCTTGAATCTCTCGATGAATTTGTCCTTGATGGAACCCTGGAATCGCCACCTCCTTCAATTGTGTCAGCGTATATCACTCATCTGGCTTCTGAAGGGCATTTCTCTCAACTTCAAGCTTCTGTCGTTCGTTTTCCAATTCACTGTGTCGACATACACTATGTTCGTAGTTATCCCTTTCTGCTCTTCAAGCAATTCGTTTATTATTTTCTGAGTTTAGGTTATGTCAACATGCAAACAAAATGGTCTCTATGATGGCATCATTTACGTGATGAATAAAGCCCTTGGAGATTATATTTCACCTTTAGAAGTAAGGAGTACCTCTATATATAAATTTAGGTGACCAGAAAAGCGAAAACTATGTTTTCGTGGTTTTTTTTTCTCAGAAGTCGCAAGGTTGTTAAACAGCATACGTTTACTTCCATACAACAAGACACAACACAGCCGTATCTGACGTTTCGGCAGAATCGCCTTCTTCATAATGCAAAATTTTGTAATCCAATGGCGAGGTTAATAGAAAGTCAATCTTGGAAACTTTATGTTTCATTTTTCTTCAGGAAATGCTGTGCGATGTTTCATCCTTTGCATCTCATGAAGTACTGTCAGACTCAGAGGTGGAGAGAGGCAACCGTTTACTCTTGTATCTACATTGTTGTCTTGCGGGCCATGCCTACCCTTTCGGTTCTCTACCTCAAGAACAGATGTCTACAGTGCCATATCAAGTGGATATGTTCTTTATCCTTATGGGTTTGTTTTTAATTTGCTGGTTCAGGTTTATCAGTGTATCACATCATTGAAAGGCAAGGATGGTGTTTTTTCTGACGTGTCTTATCCATACCTTCGATTACTGCTAACCTTTGATGCACAACAGGTTTGTTTTGATGAGAAATACTTTGTCGCTAATCTGTTAATAGTGGTTCTGATTTTAGTTCACTCATCTGCTTCGAACTTGTTCTGATGCTCCTGTTTTCCAAAGTGAAGGTCGACTTCAGAGACTTATAGAGAATGTGAGTTTTTGAGTATTGAAGGGTTTCATTTTGCTCCTGCTTAATATTCCAGTAAATCATTCAGATAGGTCGATTATCGATGGACATTCCATGTGAATCCGCTCTCGTTCATTTTCTTCTACTCGTGAGCCAGTTGACTGAAAACAACAACATAGTCATTCCCATTGAAATTGTTGAAGAAGTAAGCTTATTTAACACATTTGTAACTGGTTTTCCTCTTAACGGGTTCCACCTCATCATAGCTGGGAGGTGCTCCTGGGTGTCGGATTGCGATGTACAGCGGGGGCATTCGTCTCCTCGACAGGATCTCCCAGGCTGAGAAGGAGTTCGGCGTTTCCATGAGGAAACATAGCTAAGACTAAACGAATACCAATATCTATCACCGTCCTGGTATCAAACTAGTCGCATGATGGCAAATTTCCCTCTGATCCGCAACGGCGGTGACTGCCTACGGTGGTGAAGACTTTGGGCAGACTTTGGCCAGGCTGACCTCGGGACTCCAGGGAACCATAATGACTAAACCAGGGAAACTCCGGGAGAATGGAGGTTATGCTGGGGCCTGCACACCAAATGAAGACGGTCCAATTAAGTATCCAAGTAAGAAGCTGATTTCTCGACAACTGGAAATAATTGCCGCCAAGCAGAGCATATGAGGAATTGCGAACATATTTGTGGAAGACATTTTTCTTTGTTGATCTTGAAATATATGCAGTTCCTTAGAAGCCTTATTAATCACTGTTTTGAAGTGAAATTAAATGCTTCTAACAGTGGAGAGTAGCACAATGAAAGAAATCAGATCATAGTAAATCGGTTTTGCTAAACCGATGTCACTGTTGTTCCAAAATTCTACACGAGATCAGACCACCGTCTCTTTTGTGCAAGATTCCATTAATCGCAGAAAGGAGGAAAGCCGCTAAATTCAAAAAAGGAAGTCCCAAAACCGCCATAAACTGGGACTTATTCAATTCAATTCAATACATTAACCGGCTGTTGGGAAGATACCGTTGTCGACAACATCAACTACGAATACGACAGGCTCATTCAGCCTCTTCACGTTAACCCTATGAAAGCTGAGAATTCGAAAGTCACCAAGAGACGTCTATCACCAGAAACACTCGCGTGGAATCGCACGAGCTGAGGGTACCGCGAACCAAAGTCTGAACTTGCAAAGCAATGCAGACAGACGACGAAAGAAGATCTTAGAGAGAGAAGAGCAGTATGTATTCTTTCTTGATAAGCTTACACGAGGTTGATAAATATATTTATTTTCGGCTAACGTTTCGACGTCTTCGTCTTCCTCAGAGCCGGTGATCCGAGTCGATGGTCCATGCTTGTTGTTCGCCTCGACGTTGCGTCTTCGCCTTCGTGTCGAGCCAGATCTTCCTCAGTGAGCCATCTTCTCGAATGAGGCATCCTCACTCAGTGATGCCCTTTTATACACGATGCTGATGGTGGATATATAATGACAATGTCCGGTGGTAAAAAAAAGAAGAGCAGTAGTTATGATCGAAGTTACAGATACTGAGGAAGGTATTCGCAACGCCCACAGAAGCTTCACCAATTATAAGACCAAGACCAAGAATCGTCTGATTGCACTCCGACGCCCAGACGGAACAGTTACAGCGTCCAGAAAGGCAATGGAGAAAATCATTCACGATTACTACTCAGATCTCTTCGATAGCCACAGCCACCTTCGGTCATATGAAATAAAGGAGGATGGATATGTTGTACTACCGGTTCTTCCTTCCGAAATCCGACATGCTATTTCGTCGGTGAGAAATTGAACAGCACCAAGTCTGGGCAGGATAAAACCCGAACACCTGAAGAACATTACGGCAGTCCTCGTAAACACACTGGTTCGGCTCTT